CTCTGAGCGCGCGTTGGCGCGCCCTCCAGGCAGTGCTCAGGGGGGCCACCACTGGCCGGGGGGGTCGCCACTTCCTCCTGGAGAGGGGGAGGAAGAAGCCCCAGCACTCGCCCCGCCCCAGAGCCACCGACAACATCCAAAAATCGTCTCCTCGATCCACCCTCCCCGTCGATCCTCGCTCCTCGGGTGGCGGTGGTGCCTTCCCCAGTTAGAAGGACGAAGAGGCGGCATACTTACCACAAACTCTCCAACGTCCGCGCGGGTTTGTTCCTGGGTCGGCGCTGGACCCTGGCCCCGGCGCGCGGCGCGGGGAGCGGGGGTGTTCAGCGTAGTCCCCAGAGATCCGCGCGAGCCTCCGGAAGTGTACGTTGACGCCGTCACCAGGCTCCCTACTGAGGCGAAGCCAGGACGAGGATAAAATCGGGTAAGTATACACCAAAAATCCCTTAGATCCGGCGGCTCTGGGGCATGTTTCGGGCGCCACGGCCTCCTCAGAGCGCTCCGGAACGCTCTGAGAGCACTCCAGAAAAGATCCTCGCCCTGGCCCCGTCCGAGCAGGCATCCGACGCCGTCGTGATCTTTTTGTTGCAGCATGGGCCCCCAGGAGGCCTCGTCCCGAGCCCTCATAGGGACGGCCCCGGGCCCGATGCCCTGCATGCCGAGAGCAGACCACGGAACCCTTTTCCGCCGCTGCCTTCCACGGCGCGTGAGGACGTCTGTAGAGGACCTTCATAGATAGGGTCCGCGTACGCTAGGTGCGTGTCGTGCCAACCCTGGCATTGGCGTCTGACACCGCGCTGGATAATTCAACCTTGAACCATCGGCCGTTTCCGAAACGTTAGATCGTTTAACATCGACCGATTCTGGGACGCCGGCGGCGTTCAATGTCGAACGCCGGCAGCGGGGTCGCCGCTGGTCAGCACGACGCGAACCTACCATAGATGGGGTTGGAGGAGTGCACCGCGTCGCCGATGTATCGGCGATGCATCGGCAATGCATCGGCGATGGATCGGCGATGCATCGGCGACGTCGGCGTGTAGCAAATCGAGATCCACATCGAGCCGCATCGCCGATGCATCGGCGATGCGGCGAACCCCATCGCCGATCTGCCGACCCCATCTGCTCGAACCGCATCTGGGAGGCCCCGAGTCTGGGTCTTCGACTGGTGGTTGACCCCCTGAGCGCTGCCTGGGCCTAGCAGGAGTCCAAAATACAAAATCTACAACATCTGATGGTCGGCGAGCAAGGGGGGGGAGTGAGAAGGAGGCGGGCCCTCTCAGAAGGCTCGGAAATCCCGGGGCCTTCTGGGAACTTTTCTCAGCCTTCCCCGAAGACACGAATAACTTCTCTCTGAAGGCCCGAGGCCTTCTAAGAAGCCCCGCCGCCTGCTGAGAAGGCCTCTGGCCATCGCTCGGACGTCCATTTCCTGTGTTTTTTTCGGTTTCGTGCGTGGTTTTCGCCAAATGATCGAGGATGCTCCTCGATGGTCCTCGCCGAAGGAAAAATGCACACGTCCGAGCGATGCCAAGGCCTCCCCCTTCTCATTTTTCCCCTGTCGCTCGCCGCCGACTGGGCATGGCAGGAATCCAAAATACAAAATCTACACAACACCTGAGAATCGGGTGCGCCCCGTCAGGGCGCCACGACGGCCCGCCCCTCCTGCAACCAGGAGGGCAGGCCAGTGAAACACGTGGGGGGAAGGGGAGGAAGGAGGAAGGATGGAGGGAGGATGGAGGGAAGGATGGAGGGAGGATGGAGGGAGGAGGAGGGAGGGAGGATGTAGGAGGGAGGGAGGAGGGAGGGAGGAGGAAGGAGGAAGGATGGAGGGAGGATGGAGGGAAGGATGGAGGGAGGATGGAGAGAAGGGGAGGAGGAGGAGGAGGAGGAGGAGGAGGACGAGGAGGAGGACGAGGAGGAGGGATGGAGATGGAGGGAGGAAGATAGAAACGGAAGGGAAGGAGGAGGAGGAGGAGTTAGGGAGTTACTGATACTGCGGCCGTTTCGGCCACGACAGAGAAGCTCGTAAGCGGCTTGCGCTAACTGGGCGAGACACTGCTTGCACCGATGAGCTACGCTCGGCGAGCTCGGCCTTGCTGCTGGCCTTGGGCTACACACCATGGGATAAGCGAACGTACTCCTTTTGATCACCCGCAGCCACATGTGGACATTCCTGGGATGGTTTAGCTCCCGAGCTGCAACGCACCCACAGAACGGGCAAAGCAAACTGTCAAGCCCAGCGTGACTCGTAAGTGAACGGATCGCATGGCCCTTCCCGAGGTGTACTCCTGCTGCGCTGCCCCACGAGGGGGATCCCCAAACAACACCGTGCACGGGCTCGTCGCCGTCGCCGTCGCCGTCGTCGTCGCCGATGTCGTCGTCGTCGTCGTCGTCGTCATCATCATCATCATCATCATCATCATCATCATCATCAGCATCATCATCATCATCATCATCATCAGCATCATCATCATCAGCATCAGCATCAGCATCAGCATCAGCATCATCATCATCATCATCATCATCATCATATCATCATCATCATCATCGTCATCATATCATCATCATCAATCATCATCATCATCATCATCATCATCATCATCCATCATCATCATCATCATCATCATCATCATCATCATCATCAGCATCATCATCATCATCATCATCATCATCATCATCATCATCATCATCATCATCATCATCATCATCAGCATCAGCATCAGCATCAGCATCAGCATCATCATCATCATCATCATCATCATCATCATCATCATCATCATCATCATCATCATCATCATCGAAAGAGCGTGTTCTACCGCTGCTGGCGGAAAACCGGGGGGGGTCACTACCGGTTCGAACCCCCCCCCCCCTCCGGAAAACCGGGGGGGTCACTACCGGTTCGAACCCCTCCCCTCCCCCCCCCAGTTCATCATGAAAAGGGGGGGGGTCACTACCGGTTCGAACCCCCCCCCCCCCCCCTCGAGCTCGAAAACCGAGGGGGGTCACTACCGGTTCGAACCCCCCCCCCCTCGAAAACCTAGGCGGGGTGCGGACAGTGGTGGGGACGGTGGTGGTGGGGACAGTGGTGAGGGGACAGCGGGACAGTGGTGGGGCCAGTGGGACAGTGGTGGGGACGGTAGTGGTGGGGACAATGGTGAGGACAATGGTGGGGACAGTGGGGACAGTGGGACAGTGGTGGGGACGGTGGTGGTGGGGACAGTAGTGTGGGGACAGTGGGAATGTGGTGGAAACAGTAGGACAGTGGAGGGTACAGTGGTGGTGGGGACAGTGGTGAAGGCGGTGGCGAGGACGGCGGTGGGACAATGGGACAGAGGTGCAGTGGGGACAGTGGTAGGGACAGAGGGGACAGTGGTGGGATCAGTGGGACAGCTCAGTGGTTCGAACCGGTAGTGACCCCCCCCTCTGGTTTTCGAGGGGAGGGGGGGGGGTTCGAACCGGTAGTGACCCCCCTCGTTTTCGAGTTCGAGGGGGGGGGGGGTTGGGGGTTACGGGAGGGGGGGGGGGTTTTGCCGGGGGAAGGGGGGGGGGGAGGGGTTCCAGCAGGGGAGAGGGATTTTCGGAGGGGGGGGGGGACCCCCGGGTTCTGGAGGAAAAGGGCGGCAATTTTCAAACAGTAAAGCGGCGGTGGATCACGCTCTCTCTCATCATCTTATCATCATCATCATCATCATCATCATCATCATCATCATCATCATCATCATCATCATCATCATCAGCATCAGCATCATCATCAGCATCATCATCATCATCATCATCATCATCATCATCATCACCATCACCATCACCATCACCATCACCATCACCATCACCATCACCATCACCATCACCATCACCATCATCATCATCATCATCATCATCATCATCATTATCAGCAGCATCAGCATCGTCATCATCATCAGCATCATCATCATCAACGTCGTTGTCGTTGTCCTCCTTCGGGGTCAGTTGCACTGGCTGTAAGGCCTTCGCAAATATCGGAACGTGCGGGAAGATCACCAATGCAGTTTGACCGGGCGAAGGAGGTCGACTCCTTTGAGGGGCAACGTTAGGGGGGGACCAGCTCAGGGGGAGACGTCGCCGATAGTTGGGCGACAGGCCATCGATAGCGAAACCGAACGCTCCTGGGCGGGGTGGGCTATCGGGCCCCTATGGGATATGAGTAGGTGTTTGGGGGTCGATGAGCCCCCCCCTAGAGGGAGGGAGGTGAGGAGGGAGGGAGGGAGGGAGTGAGGGGCAGGGGATGTCCGACGAGGAATTGTACAGGGGCACCCGCTGGCAGCTAGCAGCCGAGCGGGCAAGCTGGAACTGCTCCCCTGGACCGACGCTGCCCCTACCTTTTGTGAGCATCGTCTGACCGATCCCTATCCCCACGGGCGTGGCCTGGGCCCCGCTGGCCGATTCATCCCCCGAATGGGGACATACCCAGACATCCTGGCGTCTCAAACAAAAATCGAGACGGAGGCGTTTCATGGTTTTCGGTCCCTCGGGGGGCTCACCCGGCCTCGGGACCGTCAAAAGATGGCTCGGGATGAAGCTCCGGTCCCGGGGAAGCAGCCGAGCGGTCGGGGGCCCGCGTCTCGAGTGCATCGAGATCTCGGATGTCTGGGTATAGGCTGCTCCCTCTGAGTACCGAGAAGCGCAACCCCGACTGGGGTGGTGAGACTATGGGGATCGAGATAATGAGAGGCCTTCTAGATGGTGTGGGAGAAGATGGGGTCGGAGGATCGCACCGCATCGCCGATGCATCGCCGATGCATCGATGATTCACTGGCGATGCATCGTCGACGTCGGCGATGCATCGGCGACGTCGACGTGAAGTAAATCGGGCTCCAAATCGAGCCGATCCTACGACCCCATCTACTCCGACCCCATCGAGGAAACCCAGAGACAGGGATGGAGGTGGGGACAGGGATCGGTGGAACGATGCTCCTCGCTGCGGCCGCGGCAGATCCCTGGGCCGCGCGCGCCGCACCGGCGGCCCCTCAGCAGAAGGCGCTGTCCCCGGCCTTGGGAGGACGCCGACCGCCCGCCCGCGCCGGCCCCAGCAGGGCCAGGCTCCCAGGGGACGCCTCGGGGAAGTTGTCCCAGGGGGCTCTGCAGGCTCAAGCCTCCTCGCGGCGTCATGAAAATCACGACGGGAAATGATGAATGACTATGTTCGGCCTCCGGGTACCCTCGCTGGATCCCAGGACCGTCAAGCAGCAACCTGGGAGGAGCACCGTCAAGCAACGACTGGGAGGGGAAGGGGTCCAGACCGCCTGGAGCCCACGTGGTGAACAGATCACGACGTCGGAGTTCTGGGGACGCCCTCGACGATCGAGGAAATTCGCGGGGGCTTTCAGGGAGCCGGCCGGCGGTCTTCGGGGGGGGGTCAACTCCAAGATGGGGGCCTCGGCAACCTTTTTGTTGCGGATCATCCGAATGGCGGCCGAAAACAATCGAACATCAGACAGAGGCCAGGAGTCCCGGCAAACAAACTCTGCCGGACCAGCGCGACGGCGAGAAAGGACAGGGACGAGGCAGGAACGGAAGGATTTCTCGACCTCCGTTTCGGTCCAGGCGGGCTCCCCTCCAGCCGGGCTTCCCCGTCAGCTCTGGTGGCACCTGGGCCTTCAGAGCCTGAATGCGAAGCACCTCGATGATAGAAAGCGAAGTCCGCAGATGGTAGAAACTGGGTCGCCCGACTTCGAGCCTGGCGCTGCGCGAATCGCGGTCACCTTCGCGCCCGCTGGTACGAGAACGGCGCACATGCACCAATGCTGGACCCCCTGCTGGCCAGGCTCCAGCGAGATTAAGCGCATCGTGTTTCGGCTCCGAAGCCCGCAAAATGTTGTACCGTACCGTTACTGGGTCGAAGATCGACGACGCCTCTGGAGACGCCGACGCGGTACGGTGCATACGGGTCGCTGGCGGATCGGGCTGCCCCCCCCCCGACGGAAACAACGATCCAGCCCTGACCGCGAAGCAAGGAGCGCGTTTTTGTTCGTCTTTAGGAGGGCCTGGCCAATTATACCAAGGTGTTCGGCCATATAAGAAAGAGAGGGGCACGCACGGTGTCCATCCTTGAGATTCCGAGGAAAAAAAGGTACCCCAGGGCTCCTCTCATCGCTCCCCTGACGGGCACTTTGGCAAGCGATCTGGCGAGCCAAACTCTCCCCAGGGCGAGCAATTTTGCGATGCCCGAAGGTGGCCCCAAATTGACAATTTTCTGGGCGGGTCTACGAAAGCATCCGTGGATTCGCGCACATGAGAGGCCTCCTAGATGAGGTCGGAGTAAATGGGGTCGGAGGATCGCGCCGCATCGTCGACGCATCAGTCATGCATCGGTGATACGTCGGCGACGCCGGCGTGGAAAACCTCGGGCTCCACATCGAGCCCCATGGCCGATGCATCTGCGATACGGCGCTGTCCCCCGAATCCTTGTGCTCCGACCTCATCCATCTGGGAGGCCTGGTCGCTGAGAATGTCGGACACCAACGCTTCCGGGACGAACGAAGGAACGATCACTAGTGCGGACAGCTATCCAAGCCTGCTCGAGACCAGGTGAATGAGGCCACGGCCTGTAAATACTACCCGTCGGTCGGAAGAGGTGGGTAGAACCATGAAATAGGGAGGCGTTGAAGTAGATTTGTATTGTGCGTGGTGAGGCAGACATGATCGAGGATCACGAGGGGCTCGACGCGCACACTGTGCTTCTGGAAAGACGAGGCATGCTCGAGGGGCGCGCGCTGGCAAGCAGGTTCCTCACTGGGCGTGCCTGCCTCGGGCACCCCGCCCAGGCCAGGAGACGGGCGCACGCCGGCTGAGCGCCGCCACGCTTTCGACGATGGCCCCCGACACCGCCTGGATCGCTCAACCTTGAGCGATCGGCGCTTTGCGAAGCGGCAAATCGTTCAATATGGATTGCCTTTGTGCCACTGGGGCTGAATCGAAGAGCTGGGGGCCACTGGATCGACTGGAGCAGACCCCCCCCTTGACGAAGGTGCCCTGGATGGTTTCCGCTGCGCTCCTTCGCGCGCAATGTTTTCTTTGCCCACATGCTTGATGGCGTCTGGCTGTTCGTTCTGGACCACTTGGGCGACGAAAAGACACGGGAAATGAGACGCGGATGGCGCAGCGGCCTCACGCGGTAGCTGACGCCTGCCGCCATCGCGGCGCGTCGTACTGGGAACGACGGGAACACTTTCCATCCACCCTACGCGGGCAACTTGCGCGCCAATGTCCGTGCGAACGGCCCCGTCTTCTTCCGTCGCTCACGCTCGGCTGGATGCTGGAGTCGGAATGATGGGTGGTCGGCAGGTGGAGGCAGAGGAGGAAAGTCGGATGCTGGAGGACGGATGTCGGAGTGCTGAGCTGCTGGACGCTGGAGCTCGATGGGCGGAAGTGAAGGTGGGAAGTCACACGCTGCTGGGGGGTGGAGGTCAGAGTGCTACGCTGCTGGGCGCTGGAAGTCGACGGGTGGCGGCGGAAGTGAAAGTCGGAATGCTGGATGCTGGAGGTGGGAGTGGCGAGCTGGAAGAAGCTGGAGGTCGACAGGTGGAGGTGAGGTGAGGTGAACATCTGATGTCGCATGCTGGAAGTCGGGATGTGGACGTGGGAGTTGGGGGTCGGAAGGTGGAGGTCAACAGCTTGGAACTGGTGTGCATGTCCAGCTCGCTTTGGTTCGATTCCACGTCCTGGCGGACGGGCCGGGTGTCTCAGTTCGTGTCGTCCGTGCTTTGCTGGTCGACGGCGTATCGTTCAAACTTGCCTCCTAATCCCTGCCAAGTGTAGCTATCGTGCGCCGCTGCAAACCACCATTCGCAGCCAGTACCCTCGGGGAATCTCTTTTTGTGGCCAATCATATCCATGGTGCCCAAAAACTTGGCGACCTCGTGGTCTCAACGCTTCCGCTGTTCGCCTGGTTTTCGTTGTGCGGGTCTTCTGTCGTGCAGCGGAGGCTGCCAAGCGGCGGCGCGTCGCGCCCAGCGGTCGGCGGGGGCAAGGGGAGGTAAGGGGAGGTACCCCGACGAGGGCCGCTCCAAGAAGGAGAGCCCAAGCACGAAGAACACTTGTTTTCGTCGGCGGCGAGGCAGAGGCAATCCGCACCAGCGCGGGGCGAATCGGGGCAACCGATAAGCAAAATGTCCGGCGTGCAAGAGGGAGAGACGAAGACGATGGCGGCCGCGGCCGCGCGAGGGAAGGAGGGGGAGAGCGCTCGAGGCCAACGCTCCAAAAGCTGGCGCTGTTCTTGGCCCTCTCGGAGGCGCGTCCAACAGGGGTGCGTCTGCGACGGGGGTTCGCAACTCGTGGCCTGAGGCATGTGCGCGGCCCAGGTGCGGCCAAGGGGGGGGGGGGACGTACCGAAACAAGAAGAAGCGCCATGAACACCGGGAGATATCATGGCCCCCGCCATGATATCTAGCCCAACCCTACATAATCATCACCCCACTCTTGCCCGCCCCCGACCCTTCAGCCGGCAAAACACCGATCCCTGGCCCAGGGTCGGCCCAGGCGGGGTCGGCACCGGCGGACGGCGGGCGTCTCCCGAGGGCCTTCCGCAGGATGTCGACGACGGACTTGAAGGCAAACCTGAGGGGCGGTGGCGGCGGCAGGAACAGGAACAGGAGCGAGTCGAGATCACAGGCTCGTCGTCGTCGTCGTCCTCCTCCTCCTCCTCCTCTGGCCCCCTCTGCAATCACGCGGAGGAGGGGGTCTCTTGGAGGAGGACGTCGACGCGAAGTCTGAAAGCACCTACTCATGGGCTGACCCCTCAGGCCTCCCTCGATTGGGCTTGCCCGAGAGCTCCAGTCACCACAACCACAACGCTGGGACGGTTGCGTTCGGAGAGAGGCGGAGGAGGAGGAGGAGGAGGAGGAGGAGGAGCAGGAGGGGCAGACGGACTGGGATACTCTCGCCCTTGAGGGCCACTATTCTTTGCCGTTACTCTTTGTACTGCCGTTCCTGCACCCGTCCGCGGCCAAAGTTATTTGCTGTTTCGCCTGAGTTGGCGATTTGTTACATCATCACATAGCGCAACAGGCCCTGCCTCATGTTTGCCTAACGCCAAGACAGAGGGCAGACGACGGGCCGGTGGACAGGCCTGGCGGGAGAGGTGCGCGCTGGGGGTGACAGCATCCTGCGCGCTGCCGATGCGGCCATCTTGCTGCCGTACGAGCGCCGAGTCGCGGCGAGCCTCGGCCACGAAGAGGCTCACGGGACCTGGATCTGAGGAACGACCCAGAAACACCGGGGCATAACCTGAGGAACTGCCCGAAAGCCCGAGCCCCTCCCCCAGAGCCCAAAGTGGCCCACGGTTCGGCGCCTGCACCGTACCTCGCGTGCTCGTCCTCCCACGCCAGGTTTCTGGACGAGCGTGGACCCCCCCCGACGGGATTCAGCATCGCCTCGGGGCCCTCCAAAACAGGACTTCGACGACAAAACAGGACTTTAGCGAGTCGTTTCCCCGACTAAGTCCTTGTTTTATCGAAGTCCTGGTCTCGAGGGCCCTGATCGTCACGCAGGCGTGCTGCGCTGGAGGGACGCGGCACCTCTGGCGCGCGGTCCTCATCCGCGCCGCGGAGTCAATTCGAAGCTGCCGCTGGGGGTGGCGCCCCCCACGGTGCTTCTGTCGAGGGTTGGCAGAACACCCTCTGGCAAAGCGCCCTTTCGTGAGGACTTCCAAGGGCACTCCACGCGCGCACGGCGCCCCGCTCCGAGTGGACCGGGGCGGGATAGCTAATCGACGTTCAAAAGCAAGCGAATGCATCCAGCAAGACACGCGTCGATTACAAGCGAAATCGATTGGGGGCTGTACTGGCACACTCGAATGCCAATACCGAATGAGCCAGCGCAGATTTCCTCAGTCGACGTTCTGCCAATGCCCGATTTGAAGAAAATCGGGGTGCGCGACCTCCTCGTCATTCCACTCTTCGCTGCTGATCCTGATGAGCGAGCCTTACCCCAGGATGGTCGTTGACGCCTCGTGAGCAACATGAAGCTGGCGGCTCTGGAGAGCAATCGGGCGACGAAGCAGCATCGGCATCTTTTCTGGGAATACTTCCAAATCCAGCTTTACGCCGCCATGCTTCAGGGCCTCCTGCCAGGTTGGCACTCGCGGGACTCTGGGATTGCCTGGTGCATTGTGTCAGCACCAGTGCTGGCAGATGTTCGGGATTGCTACGATGAGACAAACTAAATCTGGCGAAGAGCCCAACCTCACGCAGCTGCGTGTAGCGTATAGCGTGGCCATCTCCTCCCCTCCCATTCCGCGCGCCACAAAATGTGTGGAAACCGGCGCAGTGGCGGCATTCGCGGGCCCCAACTGAAGCTATAAGTGAGGCACCCCCGTGGGGGGCACGATCCTCGAAAGCGGGGTGCCAAAATGGGCGCCGCCTCGCATGCGGACGGGCACACTGAGACCGCAGGTGGAGCTCGCTGTCGGGCCACGATCATCGCGAGGGAGGTGCCGAGATGGAGACGCGGAGGAAGCGAGGGGGAGGAGGTGGGACGCGCGGCGCGGCAGATTCAAATACGAGGACCCACCAACACAGGAAGGTTGGACAAAGTTGTGAACCAGCGAATGGGAGGCGCGGTGACGCGGAGTCAAACGATGGCCCAAGAGCAAACAAAGGTCCCCGTGTTCAAACGCTTCAAGGCAGCCGACATCACATGGAGAATGAAATTCGGTATCCTTCCGTGTCCCTCCTCTTCCCCGAATCCTCCTCCCCCTCTTCCCCCTCTTCCCTCCTCCTTCCGCACCGTCCATACCCGCCACGCTCAACCGCCGCTCCCTCCTCTCCATCTCCCCATTCTGTCTCCACCTGTCCTCCTCCTCCTCTCCTCATTGTTTTCCTTCCTCATCCCCATTCTGGGGAAACCACAAGATACCGATACCACTGCTCCCCGGACCTCTCCCGGGGCGAATTCTGACCAGGATTTCGAGGCGAACCCAGCGGTGACGACGAGGGCTTCACGTGATTCACGAAAAGGCGAAAACAAGGGACGAGTAGCCGTATGGCCACCCCTTCCTTCTCTGACAATCCCCGCACAACGCTGTTGCACTCAGAGGCTCTGTTTCCAAGGAGTGGGCCCTGCAAGCCGCCCTCGGCCGTTCCCAGGCCGGTGCTCCCCAGATTGTGCCCCATATGTGGTGCCCTAGAAGGCTCGGAAGTCCTCCGGCCTTCTGAGAAGTGTCCGAAGCCTTCCCTGACAACACAGAAAACCTCTCAGAAGGCGCGAGGGCGTCTGAGAAGCCCCGACGCCTTCTGTGAGGGCCTTCTCCTTCTCACTTCCCCCCTCGCTCGCCGTCCCAGGTCTGAGGAGAAAGGCCCGAACATACCAAGGGCCCCTCCCGAGCCCAGCGTGGTCCTTATCTCAGCGTCTTGGCTGCAGGGTGCCCCAGGGTTGGCGCCCGACGGTTGGAACACTGTGGCGCCCGAGTTATGGCGGGTCGGTGCAGCCCGTCCCACAGGGCTGCACCCGTCGGCTGCGCAGGGTGCGCGCCCTGGGGTACACGCACAGGTCTCATGTGTGTTCCTCCTCTTCCTCCTACAACAGAGCGCAGAAGAACATACTGATACTATACGCCCCCCCCCCCTGGAGGCGCACGTCATCACCGAACATGTGGTGCAAACATTATGATCACAAAGCGGCCGCCACCGAGCATGTGCAATAAGATTTTCTCAGAGCGCGCGCGTCGCGCCCCTTGGCGGGGGGGGCGACACACACGACCGTCCTTCTCCCCGTCTCCCCTTCCTCTTCCCCTCCTCCTCCTCCTCTTTCCCCTTCTCGGCATCTCGAAGAATACGAACACCGCCGAAAGCCATGGAAGGCCCCCGAAGACCTGCGAAAGCAGCTGCAGGCCACCGGGTACCGAAACCCGTCGAGCCGACAACCTCTGAGCAGAAGAAAAAATCTGGAGGCCGCTCCTTCACGCTGGCCCTGGCAGGCCATGGCCCCCTAAGTCCCCGCAAGTCCCGACCCCCTCCCCCGGGTAATTTGCGTCCAGGACAAGCTTCGGCGGCGAGCGAGGGGGGAAATGAGAAGGAGAAGGCCCTTTCGGAAGGCGACGGGGCTTCTCAGAAGCCCTCCGGCCTTCGTAGTATGCGGGGAAGGCGTGGAAAACTTCCCAGAAGGACGAAGGGTTTCTGAGAAAACTGGTTTGCATTCGGGGAAGACTTGGAGAACTTCTCAGAAGGTTCCGAGCCTTCTGAGGCCCGCCCCCTCTAACTTCCCCCCTGGGCTGGCCGCCGAAGATTGTGGCCCGGGGGCCTCAAAACACTGACCCCTGAGGCCGACATTCTGGAACGAAAACGCCTGGGTTGAAAAGCTCATACATATCGTCGGGCATCTGGGGCTCCGTGGCGACAACGACGACGAAGACAAAGGAGGCGACGACGTCGACTTTGGGGTCGTGGCCGCGAACCACTCGGGGATCTCCTCGCCGGCGCGCAGTCTCCTGCGGAACTCCGTGCCGCTCAGCTTCACGACCTTCTTGCCCGACTTCTTGGCCACGCTCTCCTGCACGTAGCCCTCTTCCTGCGACAGGGAGAGGGATACAGTCGGACATAGGACATAATAACATCCTCCAAGAACATGAGACCCTCCGACGGCCAAAACACACAGAACGTTTAAGGATACCCGCCCCCAGGATGTACAAGAACGTCCAACGAATCCGAAGAACATTAAGGTACCCTCCCCGAGCCGACCTCGATCTTATACCTCGGTCCGACCGTACACACATTGGGGATCCCAAAACGGTGCGGTGACAGACCGTGCGGTGACCTCGAACCCCCAAGAGACCTCACAGCACGGTTCGCCACCGCATGGCTTTGGGACCTCGGAGACTCCAGTCGCCCAGGATGTCCTCGGATAGTTTTGGTGGAAGGGAGGAGATCGGACACCCCAACGACAACAGCTTCCACAAGCGAGCACATCAGAAATAGGGTGAGACAGGCGTGCTGATAGGGGCGGAAATGCGGGCAGTTCTAACATAGTGAGGATGCAAGGCTCACAACCTCGGTGGCGCGGATGTCCTCGGATAGAGACCCGAGTCCCAAACATCCCCACTGATTCACCACTCGGTGTGGTCACCGCACCGCTTGGGGGCCCCCGAGCACCAGGCCCTAGTTGATATCGGCTCCCCCCCAGGCCAGGAGGACGGCCCCAGCGCCGGCCAGCGGATGCCAGGTGGTCTTTGCGCTGCCGCCTCCCGGAGGCGAGCGGACGAGAGCGAGGGAAGCGGAGGGGAGGACGTTCTAGTTGCGCGCATGCGCCAATATATCTGCGGAGGCTTCCAGAGATTCCCGGAGGCCTCGGCGAGGATGGCTGAGGAGAGATGACGGCTGCGAGGACGCGGACGACGAGAATGGGGAGAGAGAGAGAGAGAGAAGGAAGAGGAGGATGAGGAGGGGGGAGGAGGATAGAGGAGGGAAACGTGAGGGCAGAGGCGGACGAGAGAGGATGAGAGGGGAGTAAGAGAAAGGAGAGAGGGAAGAGAGGATACGAAGGATGTCCTCTCCGACGTATACCATGTTCTCGTAGTGGGTCACGGTCATGCCAAGTTCCGCCTCGTATTTCTTGCCCGTCTCCTGCGCATGTCACAGGCAGCGGAGAAGGACAAGCAGCAAGAGAAGCAACGGCAGCGACCACGAGCGACGAGGACGATGGGGATCCATAATGGCTACGTACATACACACATTTGTATAGATGTATAGGCGTGCGTCTCTACGTAGCAATGAAACAAAACACATGCAAGTCTGATGCGAATGTCTTAGAATTTGGTACTGGTATTATCGAAGTGAAAACGTACAGTCGTATGTGTACATGAACGTGTAATGCCTGTGTACACATGCGTACTACACACATCTCGCCACACACACACACCTGTACATATATATATATATGTATGTATACACATGCAAGCAGAGCGAGGGAGAGACATGTTTTCTGACCATCGCCAGACTAACGCAGTGTTGCAAGGTTGCCCGTCCTGAGGGTCCCTGCGGGCTGTTGTGAGCCCATCTGGGGAGCCTGTTGGGTCGTCTTGCAGCGCTTTTGGGCCGTCTCGGGCCTCTGGGCCGTCTTGGGGATCTTTTGAGGCGGTCTGAATGGCTACTGGGCTGTGTGAAGTTTCCCTCGGCTGTCTGGAGCCCCTCCAGGGGCACCCCTGGGTCGTCTTGCGGCCCTGTTGGGGTACCTTGGGCCCTCTGAGGTCGTCTTTGAGCTCTCCTGGGCCCCTTTCGAGACCTCGGAACCATCTTGGGTTGGTGGACCGTCGATGGTGCCTGTCGGGCCGCCGGGCGCAACTCGTGGGCCGCAGTGGGCGCGTCTCGGGTCTCCCCCGGGGCGCTCCAGACCCGCCTCCCTGGTCCGTACACAAGTTCTACCTCATAATGTTCCATGCGAGCTAGACTTGCCTATTTAAGATACATGTGTGTATACATGTAGATGTGTGTGTATAGATCCACTCATACATACACACACAAGACTGCAGTAGCGCCTCGCGCCATGCACCTTGGTCCTTGAAATTCGGTACGCAGGCGGACTAGCAGGAACGTCAAGCCGGCAATTTAGCGATAACTCTTTTTCGGGCATCGCCGCTATAATCATGTTATTCGTTGTCCTTCCTCCATGCTTCTTATTCCTCATTTTCGCCATGCCCTGCGCATTCTCCCCATCCTCCTCAGCTCTTTTTGCGGAGGCTCCTCCTTGGAGAGCCGCTGGGGGCCTCGCAAAAGTTGTTTCAGGCTTTCTTAAGGCCTTCTGGAGGCCTCCTGGGCGTGTTCTGGGGGCCTCTGGGGGCTTCCTCGGGCCACCCTGCCTCCAACCGCGGTCTCCCTGAACGACCGGGTCACGATTTGGAATGCTTCGGAGGGTGTCTTGGGGCCATCTTGGGCCGCCATGGGGCTCTCTGAAGGGCATCTTGGACCGCTGTTGTGCCGTTTTGGGGCTCTCTTGGACTGCCTGGAAGCCCTTTCGGATGGTTGTGGGGCGATTTTCGAGCCTCCCAGGCGGCTTCGAACGCCCAGAAGACCGCCGTCTTGGAGTCGGGAAGCCGACAAGAGGAGAACCCCAAAATAAACCAAAAACCAACAAAATCAATTATTTTTGCCTCTTGGGGCCTTCTTGGGAGTGCTCTTGGAGGCCTCTTGGGACGTTTCGGGACGATCTTTGGGGGTATAACGGCTTCTTGGGGGTCGTCGTCGTCGTCGACAATGTTGGGGCTCTCTGGGGTGGTTTCGGGAGCGCGCCACGTCCTGCGAGGCCCGGGGGGCCGCTTCGAAACCCGTCCGGAGGGTCCCTAAGCCCCAGATCCCGGGAGTCCGGTTTTTTGGGGGCGGGGGGTGACGGGTTTTCCCCCCGCCCGGGCTTGTAAAAATATAATACCCGCTCAATCCGTAAAGAATTTTGCGGGTTTGGGTGGGCCCCTGGCTCCCCGAGCCCCCCGAAGAGTCCGAAACGACACCGGAGGGCGCCTAAAGAGCCCCGAAACGACACTAAAGCTCCCCAGAAGAGCCCCGAGACGGCCCAAGGAGGCCCCAAGGCGACCAGAGACAGCCCCGAGATGGCCCAAGACCGCCCTCAGACGGCCCCATAGGCCACGAAGACGCCCCGGGACGTCTCCGAAGGGACACCCTAGAGGGCCCCAAGATGCCGAAATCGTAATTTTTCGGTGGGTTTCCTACGGATTCTGAGATTCTCGCGCTCTCAACCGTCTGGACTCCCAAGACGGCCCAAGAGGCCTCCAGGATCGCCCCGAGACTGCCTAAGAGGAGCCCAAGAAAGCCCCAAGACAGCCCGGGAGGTGCCCAAGGGTAGCCCAAGAGGCCCCCAAGACGGCCCAATAGACCCCCATGAGGCCCCCAAGACGTCCCAACAAGCTCCCGAGAGGCCCCCAAGACAAGCCAAGAGGGCCCCGAGCCTGCCCACGATGACCCCAAGACGGCCCTAGATGCTGTCAAGACAGCCCCAGAGAGCCTCACGCGCCCCAAAATAGCCCCAGGAGGACCCCCAAGAGGGCTTGAAGAGGCGAAAGTCATCGATTCCACGTTGATTGTCGATCGCGCACCGCAGCTTGCTGGCATTTGCACGCCGGAGACAGAAACGAGCGTCGGCAAGCCTGGACTCACGGAGCTCCCACCGCGCGGCCAGAACGGCTCGAGAGGCCTCCAAGATTGCCCGACGAGGCTCCGAATAGAGTCTCAGGAGGCCAAGACGGCTGAAGATGGCCCCAAGATGTCCCACGATGGCCCCAAGACAGCCCAAGGGCCCCACGATGCAAAAATCAACGATGTTCCTAACGTTTTCGTAGGTTTTCGGCCTTTTCGGCTTTCCTACCGAGACGGGGGGCGAGTGCCCAGTTCTCCGGCGATCTGATGTTTGCAAGCTGGGTGTTTTCCCATATGTCGGCTTCCAGGGCCCAAGGATCTCCTCCTCCTCCTCCGTCTCCTCCTCCTCCTCCTCCTCCTCCTCCTCCTCCGTTGCTCGAGGTCAGACGGACCAAGAGGTTCCCAAGATCGCCCCACCACGGCCCTAGAAGCCCCAATGACGGCCCAAGAGGCCCCCAAGATGGCCCCAAGACGGCCGAAGAGGGCCCCCAGACGGTCCAAGAGGCGCCCCAGACGGCGCCAAAGGACCCTAAGACGGCCCCAAGAGAGGCCCAAAAGTGACTCCACGAACCGAAAACTCTACCTTTCGGCCCCGAGAGGGCCCCAAGAGGCCCCAAGGTCCCCAGAGGCCTAAGAGGCCCCCAAGAGGCTCCGAAGAGGCCCCAAGGAGACCCCCAAGAGACCCAAAACATTGTTTCCAAGAGGTCCCAAGGAAACCCCTAAGAGGCCCCGAGGAGACCCCCAAGAGGTCCCAAAGAGGCCCCAAGGAGATCCCCCAGAGGCCCTAAGGAGACTCCCGCGCAGCCGCCCGCACTAGTAATAGAGGGGCCGGCGGCAGAGGGCGAAGCCCTTACGATCCGGCCTCTCCCGCCCTGCGGGTTGGGCCGTGCGAGACCACTCTGACAAAGTGCCTGGTAGGATTCGTCTGGGCCTGGTAAAAATCTCCCTGAAGCCCCTCCTGAGGGCCTCCACTCTGTCGGAGTCGCTCGCAGACCCCCCCAAGTCGAAGCTTTCAAGAAATCCCAAGGGTCCCAAGACGACCCCAAAGAGCCCCAAGACGGCCACCAAAAGGGTCCAAGAAGGCTCCACGTCGCCGACAGATCGCCCCAAGACGCCCAAAGTGGCCGTGAAACGGTCCACGAGGCCCCCAAGAGGGCTCCAAGAGGTCTTCCAAGAAGGCCCCGAAATGCAAACATCGTTTCATTCCTATGGGGAAACGTATACTTCGAGCATGTGCGACTTTTGGGATTCTGAGCGTCCACGACGGCCCTAGAGGCGCCCAAGATCGCCCAAGACCCCCCCGACTTCAACGGATCCAGGGCCCAACGACGACTCACGAGTCCCCACACGGCCCCCAAGACAGTCCGAACCAGCTCCGAGGCAGCGACAGATCGCTCCAAGACGCCATCATAGCCCCAAGACGGCCCACGAAGCCCCGAAGACGCCAGAAGAGAGCCTCCAGAGGCTTTCCAAGACGGCCCCATGGAGCAAAATGCGTTCCACTCCTTCAGGAAAACGTCCGTTTCGAGCGTGCGAAGTTTGGGCCCCCGGAGTGACCACGACGACGCCCAAAGATCGCCCCAGAGATCCCGCAGAGGGCCCCAAGACGTGCCAAGACGGCCCCAAGACGTGCCAAGACGGCCCAAAGACGGCCCAACACGCGCCGAAGAGGGCCCATGACGGCCCCAAGAGGGACCTGGAGCCAGAACTCGAAATTACATTCCAACTTTCTGCCCAAACGGGACCTCCCAGACCGCCAGCAAGCCTCCAAGAAGCCCCCGAGAGGCCCCAACAGAGGCCCCAAGCCCCCAAACGGCGCCCAAGAGCCCCAAAGAGGCTTCAAAACTGCCTCCAAGAGACTACCGACCGGATGCGTCAAACTCCCAGGGATCGGCCGGTGATGCACCGCCAGCGTTCTCGATTTGTATATATATGTATGTGTGTATATGTACCATGTATTAAAACGAAGCCAGAGCGAGGATAAAAACGGGTGAAGAAAATATTGAGAATCTCTGGGATCCGGCGACTCGAGAAGATGCCTCGGGCGCCGCGGAATTCTCCGAAAGATCCAGAACGCTCTGAGTGTTCTGAAATGCTCTGGAACGGATTCATCCTCGTCCCAGCCCTGCCCGATATATACACAGATTACTAGGCGACCATACTCGATCAGAACGCGCCGAATCGACCATACACGAATACCAGGGAGGACCGAATCGACCTAGTGGCGCTCCAGGAGGAACCCCAGACCGCCCCGAGACCCGACCGAAAACTGCCGACACGTGTCTCGAACGAACCTCCTCGAGTGAATTCGGCAGGAGCCTCGCGATCCAGATGGCCCCAAGGGAACCCCAAAGAAACAAGCCGATGAGAGGACCCCCCCCTCCCCCCCGAAGCCCTCAGGAGGCCCACCGAAGATTGCCCTCGGAGGTAGCAGCTCCACCGAGCTGCCCCCCCAGAAGCTACCAAATCCAAAATTCCCCTTGAAGCCTCGATATCCCAATGCAAACAAATACAAGCATTCCAACGCGGCCTCCTTCAGCAGCGCTCCCTGTCCAAACCAGGTGAACCCTCAAACCGAGGCCGCCCAACGCCGCAACTCCATGAGTGCCCGAGATATACCCATACAACTTCTTCCCAATCACATTCTTCTAAAACCCAGATCTATAAGATCCTCCCCAACTTGCTCCTAGTAAATATCCCTCGTCTAGAACAAAGGAACCACCAAACAGAGCCCGCCCAAAGCCACAACTCCATCTGACCTGGCGAAATTCACAGTCGACGTCCCTCCTGAACTGGTATTCCTGCTCAGCATATGCAAATCACATGCAAAGTCCTCCCTAACCTATTCATAAGCCAAGCCCCTTGTCCCAACAAAGGAACCACGTAACAGAACCCGCCCAAAGCGACACGTCTTGCTTGTCTCTCGGAAGCCCTGTACAAAACGTGCGATCGGTGTATGGTTCTTCTCAGCATATGATATGGCCCCACCTTTTTCTGCTCTACCTTCTCCTGCTCCCTCCCTTCCTCACTCCCTCTGCCTCCTCTACGTGTCCTTCTTTTCCGGCTCCTCCTCCTCCTCTTCCTCCTTGTCCTCCCCCTCCTCCTCTGGTCCTGTTCCTCCTCCTCCATGTCCTCCCACCTCCTCGTCATCATCAGCATCAGCATCAGCATCAGCATCAGCATCAGCATCAGCATCAGCATCATCATCATCATCATCATCATCATCATCATCATCGTCATCATCATCATCTTCATCATCATCATCAGAATCATCATCAGCAGCATCATCATCGTCAGCATTGTCATCATCACCAGCACCACAATCATCATCGTCACCATCATCAGCATCATCAGCATCAGCATCATCATCACCATCATCATCATCATCATCATCATCGTCATCATCATCGTCATCTTCATCATTATCAGCATCATTATCACCACCACCACCACAATCATCATCATCGTCACCATCGACATCATCATCATCAGCAGCATCATCATCATCAGCATCATCATTCTCATAATCATAATCATCACCATCACCATCATCATCAGCAGCATCATCATCATCAGCATCAGCATCATCATCATCATCATCATCATCATCATCATGATCATCATCATCATGATCATCATCATCATCATCATCATCATCATCATCATCATCATCATCATCATCATCATCATCGCCATCAACATCATCAGCATCATCATCAACAACATCAACATCAACAGCAGTATCACCCTCCACCAATACAAGCAATTCCTGTCTTCGATTGCGCATAACGCAATGGGTATGCCGGGGAACTTCAGGTCTGATAACTATAACACGCATCCGCGGATAGAGAAGACATCAGCGCAATATGAAGGAATGGGCGGGACGTCAGACTTGTCGCGAGCGCACATAGCTGGTCTTCCACCCTTTTGCTCTCTCCTCATCCCTCCTCTTTACTCTCGTCAACCTCCTCTCTGGAAACGCACACGCGTCGCGTCCTGCGCGTCGTACGCGCCGTAGAAATCGTCGCCCGTGACCGTGCTCTTGGTTCCGGCCATGTCACGACCTGTCGCGAAGCCCCTGACCCAAGGTCCTCCTCCTTCTCGCCTCATTCCTCCCTCCCTCCCTCCCTCCCTCCCTGCCTCCCTGCCCTCGTAGTTACTTGGGTCCATCCCCTGCGCTTGCGGCTGTCCTCCTCCTCCTCCTCCTCCTCCTCCTCCTCCTCCTCCTCCTCCCCCCCATCCTCCTCCTCAAGGCATCAGGCTGCGAGCGCACCCCGCCAGCCTTGAGACGCGCGCCTAAGCCCGAGCCCAGCGCCGCCGTGATGGTGGCGAGCCTTGCCCCTGTTGCGCGGTGCTGATGGGCTACGAGGAAGGGGACTGGCCTCCAGGATGCTGAGACATCCCGCCTGCGGCCCAGATCGCATAGGCCAACGAGGAGGCGCTCCCGCGCGAACGGCTGGAGGTGGCATGGGGGGGCCTGAAGCGCGCGTGGGGCAGGCCGCCACCTCAAGAAGGAGACCAAGCAGGAGATCGAGCACTGGGTAGTCGAAGCCAATCTGGCGCCAATCTGGCAGGCCCAATCTGGCAAACGGGGGCAATCTGGCGAGGGAGCCAACGCGAATCCAGTCTGGCGAATAACCCAAATCATCCAGTTTGGCCGGGCCAGATTGGCCCTTGGGGCCCAATCCAATCTGACAATCTGGCCTTCGACTACCCAGGAGCAGGAGGATATCTGGAGCGTGCAGCCTCTACCGCATGTTCCCAAGTTTCCGAACGTGCCGATCAAGGAGGAGGACCTGGAGGACGAGCAGGAGTTCGAGGTGGACCACCAGGTTGTGGCCGTGGTTCGGCCATCAGCGGCCCCGCGGGAGCGGGACCTGGAGACCATGAGGGCCATCTTGAGCAGGCTAGAGGCCCGGGTCGAGTCGCGCAAGCAGGAGGAGACCGTGCTGGAGGCCCCGACGGAGCACGCGAACCTCGTGGTGGGGCACAGGGAGGGGCGGGCAAGGGCACCGCTGCCCCAAACCCCTCCCACGCAGGGCACCGACGGGCAGACCAAGGGAACCACTCCCGAAGGGAACCACTCCCGATGCCACAGCCGTTGAATACCATGAGCTCGATGGGGAAGGAGATCCTGAGTCGTGCGAGTGTGGTGGCCAGGCAGGAGACGGAGGGGAACCGGACGCAGCACTCGGACGCCCCGGAGGCGAGCGTCTTCGATTTCGACATCGTGTTCGAGATCGGCAACGCCCTGACGGAGATCCGGGACAAGCTGATCAACTTCCACGGGAATCTCGCATCGGTTGAGGCCGCGGTCGAGGGATTCGAGCACCGGGTGCATCAGCTAGAAGATGGAGCGAACTCTGACGGAAGCGGCTGGTGGAAAGTGTGGCTGCCGAATGGCTCATGCCCCACTGGGTGCGTGATGGACGTGAGGGCGAACGAACTGCGGCAGCAGCTCGTTTCCATCGAGGCTCAGATACGTCCCTTGGCCCCGACTTCCAGGTCAACTTGGGGCAGATAGAGGGCTGGGAGGTGGCCGAGGCAGCCAAGCGCATGACGTGGGGCAAGGCGCGCGGGGGTGACGGCATCTCCGGCGACTTCTGGAAAGCGGTCTGCGCTCGCGACTCCCCGGCGAGAGAATGGGCGCTAGCTTTGTGCTGGCGATATTGGGACCAGTGCGCCGTGCCAGATTCTTGGCACCATTCCTTGGTGATTGCTTTATTCACAAAGGTAGATGCCACGCTCTTCGGCAACTACTGGCCAGTGTGTCTGCTCCAGGCTGGGTACAAGTTGTTTGCGACTCTCCTCCTCCACCGCCTGAAGGATGCCGGGGCCGAGGGCCGCATCCGGGGCACCCAGTTTGGCTGCAAATCGCGCAGCGGCAACACACACGCAATCTTCTTTGCCAGGCGGAGGCTGGGGGAAGCCTGGGCCAAGGCGTTCGATAGCGTCATGTCGGGGCCTCTGCTGAAAGCATTGCAGCGCTTCGGGGTCATAGAGAAAATGTTGGCAATGATTCAAGCCGTCTACGCGGGCAGGAACTTCGCGGTTCGCGAGGCGGGCGTGACGTCTGGGACCCGCAAGCAGCACGCGAGAATACGTTAAGGTTGTCCTCTCTCTCGATTTCTCTTCGCCATGGTGACGAGCGTGCTGCTACGTGACGCCCGGAACATGCTGGGCGACCACAGGGGGGACACGGAGGAGCTAGTGTATGCCGACGACACGCTCATCGTAGCCACCAGCACAGAGCACGCGCAGGAAAACATGACGGCCATTGCTGCCGCTGGCGCGAACTACGGCCTCAAGTTCAATTGGGGGAAGCTCGAGTTGCTGGCAATCTGGTGCCAGGGAAGCGTGACGAGTCCAGACGGCACCCCTTAAAATGACTCCATGGTTTATTTGGGGAGTGTATACATGGCTGCCGATGGATCCATTGCTTCTGAGCTGAGCAGGCGACTCGGTTGCGCCAGGGCTGAATTCGACATCATTGCCCGAGTCTGGTCTCATTCCACCTTGTCCACGCGACAGAAGTTGCAGATCTTCGAAGCCTGCGTGCAGACGAAATTGCTGCACGGATTGCACGCGGCGTGGCTCATCAAACACGAGTTGGCCAAGCTCGACAATTTCCACGTGCGGTGTCTGCGAAAGGTGTTAGGGATACCGCATTCATACACGAGTCGCATCTCTAACGCAAGAGTTCTGGAAAAGGCCCGCCGGCCGCCCTTGAGTCGCATGCTGTTGCACCGTCAAGTATGTCGTTTTGCGCAGATCGCCCGGCACCCGGATGAGCATCCTGTGCGGCGTGCGGTCTTCCAGCCGTCCTCTTCGGAACTGCGTCCGCAGGCCTGCAGACGCCCCCAGGGCAGGCCGAAGCAGTCATGGCCAAATGAGTTGTATAAGCACGCGAAGAGCGTTTGCGAGAGCAGCGCGTATGATTGTCGGCAATTCGCGGCAATTCCAACACAAACCTGGAAAATAGCTGTGCGGCACTAACTACCGCCCATAGTGTTGCATCACTGCCCATGCGCTTCGACACCCGGCTTGCATTCACTCATTCGATTGCTTCAACTGAAGGGGCCCTGGGACACACAAATAAATAGACACAAATTCGCCGGCCCAACGGGCCAGAGGCGTGCCAAGATCTCCGGTAACTGGTTAACAATATTTCTAGTTCGCGCACGCGGGGCAGCCCCTGGGGGTCCCCTGGCGAAAAGTACCCCGACCGCCGCCCGACCGCTGCCCGGCAACTGCTACTCAGAGATGGTTTTCCTCCTGGGTGTGGCTTCTCAGGCCCCCCAGAGCGCGCCACGAGTGTCCCAAGAGGCCCCCAAGACTGCCCAAGAGGCCCCCGAGACGCCCAAAGAGCGCTCCAAGACGCCGATGATGACCCCAAGACGGCCCAAGAGGCCTCCAAGTGCCTTCCAAGAGGCCTCATATGAGGGCCCAGAGAGACCAAAATCATAAATTTTACGATGGTTTTGGAAGGATTTTGGCCTTGTCGCCTTTTCGGCTATCCGATGCTCCAAGACGGCCCAAGAGGCCCCCAAGAGCGCCCCAAGACGGGCCAAGAGGCTTCCAGGAGGGCCCCAAGAGGGCCCAAGAGGGCCCCGAGACGGCCCAAGAGCCGCCCAAGACGAGCCAAGACGGCCTTAAGACGGCCCCAAGAAGGGCCCAAGAGGGAAACCACGAACCGAAAACTCGAGCCTTCCGCCCCTTCAAAAAGGGAGACGCTTCACAGTGCAAAAATTATCGGCCGATTTCATTGGCCTCTGCGGGATACAAGTCATTCGCTGCAGTTCTTCAGACTCAAGAGCGGAGGCGCAGAAAAAAGGGTATGGAGTACCCAGTTTGGGTTCAAGAGCAAGCACGGCACGGCTGATGCGAGTTTCTTGGTCTGGCGTCTGCTGGAAAAGACGTGGGCAGAAAAAGACGGGCGCCTGGTGCTCCTCGCCCTTGACTGGGCTCAAGCATTCGATAGGGCTCAAGCATTCGATAGCGTTTCGCCAGATGCACTGTGCCGGGCCCTGCAGAGATTCGGCATCCCGCCAGAATTCATCAGCGTTGTACGAGCCATCTACACGAATCGGACATTCGAGGTTTGGGACGCGGGGTCGGTGTCCAACGCTTATCCGCAGAATTTTGGAATCAGCCAGGGATGCCCTCTATCCCCGTTCTTGTTTGCTATTGTAATGACTGCTCTGCTGCACGACGCAAAGCGGGAGGCGACGCCCAACCTGGACCTGATGCAGCAGGTGCACGAGCTGGTGCACGCCGACGACACGCTGCTCGTGGCCACCACGGGCGAGGAGGCCTCCGAGTATATACATTGCGTGCAGCGGGCTGGACAGCAACATGGCCTCCAATTCAACTGGCGAAAATTGGAAGTTCTGTCGGCGGGGTGCAACGCGCGCATCCTACAGCCGGACGGGAATGCAATTTCGCAGAAGGACAGCATAATTTACCTCGGGAGCTTGATTGCCAGCGATGGGAAAGTCGGCACGGAGCTGTCGCGCCGACTGGGCGCTGCCAGGGCCGAGTTTGAGACTCTGGCAAGGGTGTGGTCTCTCTCGACGCTGGACAATGCGAGAAGACTGCGGATCTTTGACGCTTGCGTGGTGAGCAAGCTGCTATATTGTCTTCACACGTCTTTTCTGAGCAAGCAAGAGCTTCGCAGATTGGACGCCTTCTAAGCCAGATGCCTCCGGGAAGTTTTTCGTATTCCACACTCTTACATACGTAGAGTATCCAATGAGCGGGTCCTAGAGCCCCCCATATCCAAGCCGCTGAACAACGCTCTACTTCGCCGCCAGCTGCTCTTCCTGGGGCACGTTGCCCGGAAGCCAGGCGACGACCCCGTGAGACAGACGGTGTTCCGGCCTTTCTCACACGAGCTGGCGCTGTCCATGTTCAGGAGGAAGAGGGGCAGCCCGAGAAAGACATGGAGCTGCAAAATTCATGCGCACGCTATCCGGACAGCTGGGGGTGAGAAGGCCCTTGCGCATCTTTGGCAAGATTCAGTGCAGTCCATCGCAGCCTGGTGCGCGACCGTCACGCGGTATTGCGATGCCCTCTGAGGCTGTTTTTTCGTGCTCATGTGCGTTTTTGCACTCAGCTTCTCTCTCTCCGCCCCAAGAGGGCCCCAGGAGGCCCCGAGAGGCTCCCAAGAGGCCCCAAGAGGCCGCCAAAGAGGCCCCCAAGAGGCCCCAGGAGGCCCCCAGGAGGCCCAAAAGAGGCCCCAAGAGGCCCCAGAAGGCTTCAAAAATGCCTCCCAGGCGCCCCCGAACGGCTTCTCAAAAGACCCCAAGAGGCCTCCCAAAGAAGCATCTTGACGATGACCCTGTTTGGCCCCAAGAGCAACACAAGATGCCAACGAGAGGCTTCCTCCTCCGCCCCTTCCTCTTCCTCCTCCTCCTCCTACTCATCCTCATCCTCCTCCTATCCTTCTCATCCTCTCCTCCTCCTCCCCTCCCCTTCCCCATCCTCATGTTCCTCCTCCTCGACGGCGCCACAATTGCCCCGGGCCCACGGCGAAGCAGTAGCGATCATGCAACATGGGCCGGCGGAATGAGCGAAGCGATTGAATAACAGGATTCCCCATATTTCCCCATACCTATACGACCACCCTGCGGGTGATAAGGACGTTGGGGGGGGAGGGAGCCAGCAATGGGCAACAGTGGTGATTGTTGTCCTGACGATGACAGTGGAGATTGTTGCGTTGCCGCTCGCCCTTGGGAGCCTTAGTGTCGAGTTGTTTACGTTACCCTTCGCTCTTTGGCGCCTTGGTACCAGTCCCCCCCCCTGGAAACTAATGAAATAATATATATATATATATATATATATGATTTCGTTCATTTTGCAAGGGCTTGGGGGGCCGTTTGGGCGCGTCTTTGGGACCCCTTGGGAGCTCTTGGGGGCCCCTTGGGGAGCCTCTTGGGGGCCTCTTGGGAGCCTTTTGGGGCTTCTTGGGGGCCTCTTGGGACCTCCCGGGAGCTTCTTGCAGCGACCCATAAGAGCCTGTTCCGCCAACGTTCGTACTGGGAGCCTTGGTGTTCAGAGATTGCTGCGTTGCCGCTCGCTCCTGGCACAGCATTGTCACAGCATACAGCACGGGATGTCCATGTGTCTGACGATTTGCATTTGCATGTGCTTATCGATGTGCGTGTCGAATATCTTTTCGATCTGCATTTCGATTTGCATCTCACTATCGGTCTCACTATCGATCCCACGATCGATCTCTATCGACCTTACTATCGATCTCACTCGATCGATCTCACTATCGGTCTCACTCGATCGATGTCACTGTCGATGTCACTCTCGATCTCGTTTTCGATCTCACTATCGATCTCACTATCGATATCACTCCATCGATCTCACTACCGATCTCACTATCGATAACACTCCATCGATCTCACTTTCGATCTCACTATCGATCCCTCTATCGATCTGACTCGATCGATCCCACTATCGATCTTACTCAATCGATCTCACAATAGATCCCACTATCGCTCTCACTATCGATCCCACAATCGCTCTCACCCTCGATCTCACTCGGTCGATCTCACAATCGATCTCACTATCGATTCCACAATCGATCTCACAATCGATCTCACTATCGATCTCACTATCGTGCTTGCACCAGCGGGACACCGGGACACCAGCGGGACACCGGCAGGACACCGGCGGGACACCGCGCGGCCCCGTTTGCCGGTCGGGAAACATTTGGTCCGGCCGCGCCTCAGCCACAGGAGACTTACCAGGACACCAGCGGGACACCGGCGGGACACCGCGCGGCCCCGTTTGCCGGGGGGGGAATCATTTGGTCCGGCCGCGCCTCAGCCACAGCAGACTTTCCTCTCGCCCGCCCACGCAGCTTCGCCTCGCCCGCACGCACGGCACGCACGAACACGAAACCGAACCCGAGTTCCCGGTGGGGGCCTCTCCGTTCCACTTCGATCTCACCCCCCAACCTCCGATTTTCTGGGTTTCGTCTCCCCCCCCACTTCCCATATGTTCCCACATTTTCTGGGGAATCGACGATTCATGTTGTCTTTTGTTTTTCCCTCCTGACCAAACCATGGGCGAAAACCGAATTCTTATCCACGGCCTCGCGGGCCGGGCCCCTGGGCCAAGACCTCGCGGATACGGGGAATTCTTCGCGGATGCCCCGCTCGGAATGTATCCGTGCGACCGCGCATCCGCGGGATCGCGCCCTGGAATCCAGACCGCGGATGCGTTACTCTCGCCGCTCATGATCGAGCCATGGCCCCCAGCGCGCCGCCCCCCCCCCCCAGGGACCGCGGAAGAGGTGCTGCGCCGGCGGAGCAACTGTGGGCGGATATCCAGAGCTCATTCCGACATGCTCTTCGGGCCCTCTGTCGAGACCCCATGGTATGGGAAGGCTTCGGGTTGTGCGTCGACCGCTCCCCCAGGTAGTCCCAGCTGGCCTCAACAGGCCCCCCCGAGTAGCCCCAGTTGGGCTCAACAGGCCCTCCGAGCAGTGCGGGCCAATCTCAACACCCAGCGCCAACTCTGGCGGCGCCCCAGGGTTGAAGTGTTGAGACCGGCCTGGGCTACTCGGTGCGTGTGGAGGTCAGCTTGGGGGGCCTGTTGAGGACAGCGGGACTCCCGGGGGGGGGGCTGAATGCGCGCAGCCCGAAGCCTTACCGTACCCCCCCCCAGACCAATGATGAAGTGCGTGGCCCCGAAATTCTTCCGGATGATCATGTGCTGGATCGCCTCGCGGGGGCCCGCCATCTTCATGCTGTACGGGAGGTAGGCCCAACGGAACATGGGGAACTGCTCCTTGGTCTCCGCCTTAAGCGCCTCTGGGGAAACGCAAATCAAAGGTACCAGTACTGCTACCCTACGGCCATCTCCTGAGATGCGGTCTGACCAGAATTCCGAAGCGAATCGAGCGGTGGCGACGAGGGCCTCCCAGGAGGTCGAAAAGAGGGGAAACGAGAAAAAGGTAGCGGTATGGGTACCTTTTTCCCCTCTGAGCCTCGTAGGTCGAGATCCTGACCACGCCATCTATGTCGCCCGGCTGCGTCGGGCCGCAGGTCGGGTGCACCAGGAGGATGGAGTCCTTCACGTCACGCTGGGCGCAGATCAGCAGCTCGAAGTGCGCGCGGTGGATGGGGTTCCTGTTCTGGAAGGCCACGACGGGCTTGCCCTCGGGGAGCACAGCCCGCACCTCGCTGGGGGTCTGCACGGGGTACGGGAACGGAACGCTCGTGATACCGTGCAGGTTGCCGCCGACGTAGTACTTGCCCACGTCCTGCACGAGAGCGTGCACCGTGGGGTGCTCGATGCTGGAAGTACCATAGCACTCCTTGGCCTCGACCGTCTTGTCCGGCTTGTAGATGGAGGAGGCCTCGAGCACAGCGACGTCGTTGCCCTTGTACTTCAGCAGGAGCTTGTCGCCCTGCTTGAAGCCAGACGTGTCGTTCACGTCGAGGGTGACGGGCAGGCCGAAGAGCTGCTTCTCGGGAAGGCGCATGTCCTTCACCACGGACTTGTACGTCGTCTCGTCCATGAAGCCCTTGAGGGGGCTGAAGGCGCCGTTCACCAGGCAGAATACGTCGCACGCCTGCCTCTCGTTCAGCTCAATGGTTGCGGCGCACTCCGCCACCAGCGCCTTGGCCTTGGCTGCGTCCTTCACCATCAGGTCCATGAGCGCCCCGCCGTGAGGAGAGCCCGCCGTGGTGGTGCGCGTGTGGATGCCGCACTCCGTCTTCGCCTGCCGCACGAAGCGCCCCGTGCGCTCGCTCTCGTGCGGCTCCACGGGCACGGTGGTGTGGATGTCGCCGAAAGACTTGAACACGTACGTGATGGGCGCCGGGGGGTCGCCCTTGATCTCCTCTTGGCGGCGCGCACACGAGGGTGGCGCGAGCTGGACAACCCCTCCAATAGAGGACCAACAGGCTGCTTAGATTTGGATCTGCGTTGCCATCCCCTGACTGGCGCGCGGAGAGCCCCAGGGGGGCCCACCGCCGATGCAAGAAATAATCCACGTGGAGCTCCGAAACCTGATGTTTGTGCAGTTTGCTCTTCTTCGATCTAAGAAGCCCACCCATGTGCCAAGAAGCCTTTTCCGAAGCCTCCGGGGCCTCGCTGCCATCCGAGAGGCCCCACCGACTGCTTGGACGCCCGCCTCCTTGGCGCCGCCCCCCCCGTGTCACAGAAGGTCGAGTTCAAGCAGCGGCAGCTGAAAACCCGTCCCTGGACCCCTCCCGGGGGACCAGCGCACCGGCTTCACGAGCTGCGTCAAGCCGTGGCGACGAGGGAGCCCCCGAAGGCCAACTGCCGCTGTCTCAACTGGCCCTCCTCTGAACTGTGCGCGCCGCCAATCCTTCTCCGAGCACTGCCAGAACGGCTTGCCCAGAGGCACCTTCTCCCACGGGAGGTCCTGGGGAAGCCAGATGGTATCGATACCGCTACTTACGATACTCCGTGGACCTCTCCAGGGGTGCGTCCTGACCAGAATAGCGAGGCGACTCCGGCCGTGGCTTCGATGGCCTCCAAGGAGGTCCAAAAAAGACGAAGTCGTGGCAAAGGGTGGCGGTATCTGTATGACTTTTCCTCCTCTGATGTCCGGCAGGTGCCGCTTGGTGGCCTCGATCGGCGCCTGCGCGCGGTAAGCGTAGCTGTGGCCCTCGTTGACCGGGACGCCATGGGCGTCCGCATAAGCAGTAATGTCGCTCCACGACCACTCTGCCATCGGGTTCAGCGTACGCTTGCCGTCCTCCCAGACGTCCAGCGAGATGCGCTGCGCCGCCTTGGAGGAAGAACGAACTGCATATGCACTTCAAGAAATCCGCGCGGATGTCTTGCATCGGCGCGGGAACCAATGTCGGCGCCTCCGGCGCCGCCGACTCCATATTTCCATCACTGATAAGCTGAGGGACTTGGAGGTTCGTGATTTCGGACGCTTTCTTCGGATCTCAACGGTTTTCCAAGTCTCTGGGTGAGTTCAAGCGGGTGCGCCTCGCCGAGAGCGTTCCTGTGGTGACCAGATCGAACAGAGTGTCGCCTGCGAACTGAACTATATCGAACTATGACCCGAAAACCAGACGCCTGGTCCATGCGGCGGCCCGTGATGAGGATATCCTTCTTGCACTCCGTCAGGGCCCGCTGGAACGGCTCCACCTTGCTGACGAAATCGAAGTCCGCAGTGTCCATCTCCTCGCAGTCCCCGTACTTCGCGTTGAACTCTTCACGGGTGGAGACCCCATCGACGGTCTTCCACAGAGCCTTCTTGTTGTACTTCTTCTCGACTGCATCGGCGCACGGGCGGGTCGTGTCAAACAGGTGCATCGTGTCGATGGCCACCAAAGTCATGCCATTTAGGATCTTGGGCAGACTCAACCCGCAAGGTAATCGAAACCGAGTCGAATCGGCCGCGCCAGGACTCACTACAATGTCATACAAGCATCGACCCGCATCGGATCGTCGCACATCGAACACTAATCGGATCGAGCCAAGCGAGATTGAAATCGAACGGGCCCGATCGAGTGGGGAAGGGCCTTGGGGAAGTGGTCGTGCATCAGCGCCACGAACACGTTGTCGGTCGCAAGCCAGGCGGTGGCAAAGCACACGCCCTTGCCGTCCGCGGGCAAGTGCTTCTCGATATGCGCCTCTTGAGGTGGCGGAGAACGGCACTGGCCCTGAGAAGACTTCGCCTACGATGGCTCATTGATGCAAGAAGGCCGATGGCAATCATGCACCGTCCCGCCGCTGAGTCCTCGAGGGTTCCCTGAGGGCTTCGTCGGGGAGACTGATGGGGCTTGTCAGGATTCCTTGTTTTGCCTTGCATTGGGCTACCATGCTGTACCTTGGCATTGGTTTGCCGGCGTTGCTTGTTCGTTGCGTTGCGTTGCGTGCCATTGCTGTGCGTTGCGTTGCCCTGACGTGCATGCAATCAATCCAGCTGCTGTGCGTTGCATTGGTTTCGAGTTTGGATGTTTTGCATTGAATGGATTGCTGTGCATTCTGCTGCGTTGTGCTGCATTGCCTTGCTTCGAACTGCATTGATTTGATGTGCATTGCTCCGCATCGATGTGCTTCACAATCGTACGACCGTGTCTTCCCTTACTTCCACCACACTGCTTCGCTTTGCATTGAATTGCTTCGCATGGTTTTTGCAATCTATCACAGTATATGACAATGTATTGCACTGGGTCGTTTGGAGATGCAACATGCTGATTTACGCTGTGTCGTGAAGGTTGGAAGAAAAGAGAGAGAAAAGAGAGAGAGAGAGAGAGAAAGAGAGAGAGAGAGAGAGAGAAAGAGAGAGAGAGAGAGGAAAAAACAATTAGCTTGGCGGAAGACCCAACCATATGCAATTGCGAATACCGTCTTTGTGAGCAAATCATTCGGTGGGGTTCCCTATGGGGCCACGAAACGCTGCCCTGGGTGAGGGAACCGCATGCGACCCCCCCCCCGCTGGGGCCATCGGCGGAGCTCCCTATGGGGCCACGAAGCGCTGCCCTGGGTGGGGGAACCGCATGCGACCCACGCTGCCCTGGGTGGGGGAACCGCATGCGACCCCCCCCCTCTGGGGCCTTCGGCGGAGTTCCCCATGGGGACACGAAGCGCTGCCCTGGGTGGGGGAACCGCACGCGACCCCCCCCCACTGGGGCCTTCGGTAAAGCTCCCTATAGTGCACGAAACTCTGCCCTGGGTGGGGGGACCGCATGCGACCCTCCCCATTGGGGCCATCGGCGGAGCTCCCCATGGGGCCACGAAACGCTGCCTTGGGTGAGGGAACCGCATGCGACCCCCCACTGGGGCCATCGGCGGAGCTCCCTATGGGGCCACGAAGCGCTGCCCTGGTTGGGGAAACCGCATGCGACCCCCCCCCACTGGGGCCATCGGCGGAGCTCCTTATGGGGACACGAAGCGCTGCCCTGGGTGGGGGAACCGCATGCGACCACCCCCACTGGGGCCATCGGCGGATCTCCTTATGGGGACACGAAGCGTTGCCCTGGGTGGGGGAACGGCATGCGACCCCCCCCCACTGGGGCCATCGGCGGAGCTCCCTATGGGGCAACGAACGCTGCCCTGGGTGGGGGAACCACATGCGACTCCCCCCCCCCACCCACCCCCCACTGGGGCCATCGGCGGAGCTCCCTATGGAGCCACGAAGCTTTGCCCTGGGTGGGCGAACCGCATGCGACCCCTCTCACTGGGGCCATCGGCGGAGCTCCCTATGGGGACACGAAACGCTGCCCTGGGTGGGGGAGCCGCATGCGCACCCCCCCCACTGGGGCCATCGGCGGAGCTCCCTACGGGGCAACGAAGCGCTGCCCTGGATGGGGGGGCCGCATGCGCCCCCCCCCCGCTGGGGCCTTCGGTGGAGCTCCCTATGGGGCTACGAAACGTGTGAGAGGTGTGCCAGGAGGGACAAGGAGGGGGAGGATGGAGGAGGGAGAGGAAGGGGAGGAGGAAGGAGAGACGCGGGGCACCGTCTCGTCAAAACGAGGACCCAACACCACAGGTTGGGAAACGTACTTAGCCTGGCGAAGGACCTAACCATGTGCAGTTGTGAGTACCGTCTTTGTACGACACGCATTCGGTGGGGTTCCCTACAGGGCCACGAAACGCTGCCCTGGGTGCGGGAATCGCATGCGAACACCCCCTGTGGGGCCTTCGGTGGAGCTCCCCATGGGGCCACGAAGCGCTGCCCTGGGTGGGGGGGAGCATGCGGGCACCCCCATTGGGGCCTTCGGTGGAGCTCCCTATAGGGCCACGAAACGCTGCCCTGGGTGGGGGAACCGCATGCAAACACCCCCACTGGGGCCTTCGGCGGAGCTCCCTATGGGGCCATGAAGCGCTGACACGATACGCTGCCCTGGGTGGGGGAACCGCATGCGCCCCCCGCCCCCCCCCCATTGGGGCCATCGGCAGAGCCCCCTATGGGGCCATGAAGCGCTGCCCTGGATGGGGGAACCGCATGTGACCCCCCCACCACTGGCACCATCGGCGGAGCTCCCTATGAGGCCACGAAACGCTGCCGTGGTTGGGGAAACCGCATGCGACCCCCCCCCATTTGGGCCATCGGCGGAGCTCCCTATGGGGACATGAAGCGCTGCCCTGGGTGGGGGAACCGCATGCGACCCCCCCCCACTGGGGCCATCGGCGGAGCTCCCTATGGGGCCACGAAGCGCTGCCTTGGGTGGGGGAACCGCATGCGACCCCCCCCACTGGGGCCTTCGGTGGAGCTCCCTATGGGGCTACGCAACGTGTGAGAGGTGTGCCAGGAGCAGTGGCAAGGAGGGGGAGGATGGAGGAGGGAGAGGAGGGGGAGGAGGAAGGAGAGACGCGGGGCACCGGCTCTTCAAAACGAGGACCCAACACCACAGGATGGTGGGGAAAAACATATATATATATATACATATATATATATATAACAAAGTGCGGTCGCGCCGCTCTCATCCATGTCGCTTGACGCCCTTACTAAGGATGCCTCGACAAAGTCGCCAGCCCAACGGGCCAAGGGCGTGCTAAGATCTCTGGTGACTGGTTCACAATATTCTAGTTCGCGCGCGCCGGGCCGTCCCTGGGGGGCCACGGACGAAAAATGCCCCTGCAAGTCCTGGCCAGGTCCCGGCAAGATCCCGGCCAAGTCTCGGGCAGGTCCTGGCCATGTCCCAGCAGGCTCCCAAGACCATTCCAGGAGCGCTTCAAGAGGCCTCCAAGAGAGCTCAACATGGCCCGAGACGGCCCAAGAGCGATCCGAGACGCCAAAGATGGACTCCAGACAGCCCAAAGCACCTGCAAGACGCCACAGGAGGCCTCCAAGAAACCTCCCAAGAGGCCTTCGAGAGGCCCCAAGAGACCCCCAAGAGGCCTCAAGAGACCTCCCAAGAGGCTCCACAGAGGCACAAATTAGCTTTTACTTTTGGCGCTCTCGCCTTGGAGGGTTACTTGCGCTCCAAGACGGCCCAAGAGGCTTCCAGGATCGCCCCAAAACCAAAACAACCCAAGAGGCCTCCAAGAGCACTCAAAACGGTCCCAGAGGGCCCCAAGGCAGCCCGAGAGGCTTCCAAGATGGCCGAAGAGACTCCCAAGACAGCTCCAAGAGTGGACCCAGACAAATAACCCTAGCGGACATTTTGAGCTCAAGGCGCAGAAAGGTCCCCTGGAAGCCCGAAGAGGCTCACAAGAATCCCCCAAGAGGCCCCCGAGAGGCCCCAAGAGACCCCCAAAAGGCCCCAAGAGACCTCCCAAGAGGCTCCACAGAGGCAGAAATTAGCGATGTTCCTTTCATGTTTGAAAGCTTTTGGCGTTCTCGCCCTGGGAGCTTCCTGGCGCTCCAAGACGGCCCAAGAGGCTTCCAGGATCGCCCCAAAACAACCCAAGAGGCCTCCAAGAGCGCCCACAACGGCCCCAGAGGGCCCCAAAACAAACCCAAAGGCCTCCAAGATGGCCGAAGAGCCTCCCAAGACAGCTCCAAGAGCGGACCCGGACCAGGGACCCGAGCAGACATTTCGACCTCCAGGCGCAGAGAGGTTCCCTGGAGTCCCGAAGAGGCCACCAAAAAGCTCCCAAGAGGCCCCCGAGAGGCCCCAAGAGACCCCCAAAAGACCCCAAGAGACCTCCCAAGAGGCTCCACAGAGGCAGGAATTAGCGACTTTCCTTTCATGTTTGAAGGCTTTTGGCGTTCTCGCCTTGGAGGCTTCCCGGCGCTCCAAGACGGCCCAAGAGGCTTCCATGATCGCCCCAAAACAACCCAAGAGGCCTCCAAGAGCGCCCACAACTGACCCAGAGGGCCCCAAGACAGCCCCAGAGGCCTCCAAGATGGCCGAAGAGACTCCCAAGACAGCTCCAAGAGCAGACCCAGACAAGTGACCCTAACGGACATGTCGAGCTTAGCCGCAGAAAGGTCCCCTGGAAGCCCGAAGAGGTTCCCAAGAATCCCCCAAGAGGCCCCCGAGAGGCCCCAAGAGACCCCCAAAAGTCCCCAAGAGACCTCCCAAGAGGAATTAGCGACTTTCTTTTCATGTTTGACGGCTCTTGGCGTTCTCGTCTTGGAGGCTTCCCGGCGCTCCAAGACGGCCCAAGAGGCTTCCAGGATCGCCCCAAAACAACCCAAGAGGCCTCCAAGAGCGCCCACAACTGACCCAGAGGGCCCCAAGACAGCCCCAGAGGCCTCCAAGATGGCCGAAGAGCCTCCCAAGACAGCTCCAAGAGCGGACCCGGACGAGGGACCCGAGCGGACATTTTGAGCTCAAGGCGCAGCGAGGTCCCCTGGAGGCCCCAAGAAGTCCCCAAAAAGCCGCCAAGAGGCCCCCGAGAGGCCTAAAGAGACTCCCAAGAGGCCCTCGTACCGCTTCAGGAGGTGTCAGACATACCACCAAGAGGCCCCCAAAGAGGCCTCCTATCGTTTCACCAACCCTTTCTTCTTTCTTCCCGCTCCTCCTTCTCCCCCCTCTGCTTCAACGACCCTCAATCCTCGAACGAGAGCGCACCGCCAAGAGGCCCCCGAGAGGCCTCCCAGAAGACCCCAAGCGACTCCTAAAGAGGCGCCTTGTCCATAACCAGTTTCGCCCCAACTTGACACAAAAAGCTCTCCAGAGACCTCCTCCTCATCCTCATCCCCCCCCTCTTCCTCCCTCTCGTCCTCCTCCTTCACCTTTTCGCTCGCCACGAACACACGAACATGTAGCACCAATGATGCAAGATGGGCCGACGGAATGAGAGAAGCGACGAAATAATACATTCTAGTGTTAGGTGGCGACATCCGAACCCTGCCCCCACCAACCATCGATTCTCCCGAATCGATGGGAGGCGGGGGTAAAGTTCGTGTCTTGCCGCCGCGTTCGACGAACTCCGAACCCTGTCGCCGCCGTCCATCGAATTGCCTGAACCGCTGATCGACGAGGATGGGGTTCAGATTTCGCCGCCGAACCATATCATAGCACATCCGAGTCTTACGGGGGAAACCAACAGGTACCGATACCACTATTCCCCAGACCTCTCCCAGGGTGCGTCCTGATCAATCGAGCGGTGGCGACGAGGGCCTCCCATGAGGCCAGAAAAGGTGAAAACGAGGAAGGGCATTGGTAATTTCCATCCCAGTCTCATAGCACATCCGAATCTCAACACACACACACACACACACCTCACACACTCCTCACACACCTCCAACACAACTGAAGAGCACACGGACGGCTGATCTCCGCCATGGCGGGACCCCTCCCCGCGCGCCCCTGCCTGGCTGAGTTCTCGCGCGCCCGGGGGGGCCCGGCGCACCGAGCGCCGCCCAGGGTGCTGTGTGCATGGGGCCTTCCCCTGGCGGAGACCTGCCGCCGACGGGCGCCTGCAGGCCACCCGGAAGAAGCAGGTCAAGACATCGAGAAGCTGGCAGGCGCCCAGAAAGTAGAAGACGAAGCCAGGGCGAGGACAAGTTCGGGCGAGGACTCATCGGGGATCTGTGAGATCTGGCGGCTCTGGAGGATGTCTCGTGCGCCGCGGCATTCTCAGAGCGCTCCAGCACGCTCTGAGAGCGTTCCAGAACCCTCTGGAACGGATGGATCCTCGTCCTAGCCCCGTCCGAAAGCACGTTGTCTTCTGAGCCGCCCTGGAAGCCGCTTCGAATGCCGGACTCAGAAAGATGCTGGCTCATATTGGGATCTGGGGCTCGAGCAATTCCTGCTTTCAACGAATGGCCAGTGTGCGTCTTTGGCGGACCCTCCGGAATCGATGGTCTGCTACGTCCTGGCCGGAACCTCGAGGCGGATCCAGCCATAGCGACGAGGGCCCCAAAGGAGGGACCAACAACAGGCAAACGGATCCCGACAGGAAATTCTATACCTCTCATGGGGCACATAATGGCCAGGATATCGAAGCGAATCCAGCCGTGGCGACTCTGATCCCAAAACGGCGATGAAAGGGCGACTGCCTAGACATGCGACGTCGTGTTGTGTTCAATGCGTGGCCCGTCTCGACAAATGTTACCCAGAATCGTTGCCAGACGGTCCTGGTGCCCGAAACGGACATCCAGATGCAGAAATGTTGAACAACTACAATCAACCCGTATAATAATGATGCGCGGTAAGGATGCAAGGGCCTTGGAGTGCCACGTTAACGTTTTTCGAACGAGGTTAGCCAGCCAAAGCGGCCAAGGATGTACCGAGGAGGCAAGGATGCAAGGGTACCCTTGGGAAGGTTGCCCATCCTTCCTATGCGGGTTGACTGTAGTAGGTTGAGCAGAAATGTGACGACGTCCGAGGTCTGGGACGACGACGACGACGACGCCGCCGCCGCGGCCGCCGCCACCGCCGCCCCCGGCCCCCTTCGGCACCACCGAACCTTGAAGGACGCCACCTTGTCGTCGAGGGCGGCCGTCGAGAACAGCCTCCGCGCCCCCCGCCTCTCCTCCTTCTCCTCCTCACTCCCACCTCCTTCTTAAGCCTCCTCCTGTATGCTTCTCCATCATTATTTGGGGCCTCCTAGATAAGGTCCGAGTAGACGAGGTCGGAGGATCTCGCTGCATCGTCGATACATCGGCGATGCATCGGCGTTGCACCGTCGACGTGGGCGATGCCTCGGCGACGTCGACGAGAAGGAAATCGGGCTCTACATCGAGCCGCATCGGCGATGCATCGGCGATTCGCCGCGATCCTCCGATCCCATCTACTCCGACCCCATCTCGGAGGCCTAGATTCATGTTTCTTCCTCATTCGGTGGTGCCCCACTGACACCCACACATATCTCCGACACATACAGCGCTTCCAGGACGGGCAGTAGCTCGAGGATCTGCGGACCCGCCGAGGAGTTCCTCGTAGTTTGTGTGTCCGAAGTTGTACTTTCGTTCTGAGATCGCACCGCAATGGAGTCAATTCCTTTCCATATTCTCTCCTCCCCCTCGGCTCGGATTCAGCGAATGAACCTTGATGGGACTGCACGGACCACAAGCTGCATGCGCGGCAGAATGAGCTCCGAAGGCAGGATGAGGAAGAGAACCGTGAGCGGCAGGAGAGAGGTGGACGATTGAGGGAGCTGGCCATCTACCTCATGCACGTCGTGCGCGTGCTGACGGAGACGAAGGCAACACGAAAACAACTCCAGATGAGGACAAGTCGGGAATCTCCGAGAACTGGCGGGGTCTGGAGGACGTGCCAGGCGCCAGGGCCATCCCAGGACGTTCCAGAGCGCACTGAAAGCGCTGCGGAGTAGCGATGTATCCTCGCCCCGGGCCTGCCTAACTGACCCCGTTCGTGGCCCAAGTTCCAGGGCTCGCGCGGCAATCCACGCCAGGCAAGGTCCTCAAAACAACGTGTTGCTGCGAGTAGTCCCAACATTGGAGCTGCTGCGAATGTGCTCGAAAAGTCTGGTGCTCATCTACAGGCCTCTTGGTTTAGTGTTCAGGCCTGGCTTTACGTAGGCTATTCGGGGGCGCGCAAACATGGATTAGCGATCCATGGATTTGGCGCGCGGTCGCCAAATCCATGGAGCGAGGGAAGTGGCATCCCCAATATGCGGCTGGTGCCGCCTCGTTCGGCGGCGAAAATTCGCGATTTCCCATGGAAACGGGACCCGTCGCTAATCCACGCCCCCTTGATCCATGTTTGCGATCGCCTGAGTTAGGTAGGTGCGTCATGCGCATGGTGTTGACGTATATTGTTCACGCTAGCTAATGAAGTACATGTTTCTATTAAGAGATCCGTGTATGATCCGTACGTGTGGCTCTAAGTCCCCTCATAAAGATATAACCTCAGAACTATCCTGGGATGCGTTCTGGCCAAGAGTCCGACGTGAATCCAGCCCCGGCGACCAGGAGGCCGGGATACTTCCAGAAAGCGCACGAAACCTCAACCGTCGATCTCCCAATCCTCCCCTCCATTCCTATCTCTCTCCTGAGGAGGGCATCCACCACCACTGCCTCTTCCTCCTCTCCTCCCCTCCTTCCTCCGCCTTGCCGTCCTTCTCCTGCCGCTCACCCTCATCCAACTCACTCCCCGAAGTCCCGACGCTTTCCCCAGGGAGCGATGTTTCGCCCATAGGCAGCCTTTTGACGGTCCCTGGGCCCGGCGAGGGCCCAGAGTTTACGATCCATCCCTCCTCCTCCTCCTCCTCCTCCTCCTCCTCCTCCTCCCCCTCCTCCTCCTCCCTTCTCCTTCGGTGTGGGGGCACCCGAGTGGGTCCTCCCCCCCCCCTCTCCCTGCGCGCGCTCCTAGCTTGCCTGTCCACTCCCCTTCCTCCCTTCCTCCTCCCTCCTGCGGGGACAACTAATACATCTAGTTTCTGCTACACCCCGGGCCTGTGACCAGAATATCGAAGAAAGTCCAGCCATGGCGACGAGGGCTCCCGAGGACGAGCAGCGGTATCGGCACCGTTCCCTACTCTGATGACTAGTCCCCCAATACGCGACCTCAGAGGTCCTGACCGCTTCCCGCAGGGCACATATTTCATTCTGGATCCACTTCTGATGGTCCTGGGGCCCGGGCAGTGGGCCGAAGTCGAGGAAAAGGCCCAAATGGACAAACACAAATATATCGCCGGAGATATGTATGGGCATGTCGTTGACCCCTTCTCCCTCCTCCTCCCTCCTCCTCCCTCCTCCCCTCCGGGAGAGCCCGGAACCGAATCCACCAGGCCAAACCGAACCGAACCGAGTCCAAGGAATCGAAATGAGCCCTGCCCCTCCTGCCCTGCTGCCCTGCTCCTCCTGCCCCGCCCCCTCCCCTGGCCGGCAGGAGGCCTCACCTCCCCTCCCCCTCCCGCCGCCACCTCCCCCCTGCCCTCCTCCCTCCTACCCTCCCCCCCCTCCCTCCTCCCGCCGCCCCTCCTCCTCCCTCCTCCCTCCTGCCCTCCCCCTTCTCCTCCCGTCCCTCCTCCCCCTCCCTCCTCCCTCCTGCCCTCCCCCCTCCCGCCCTTCCCCCCCCCCCTGCCTCCTCCCCTGCCTCCTCCCCTGCCTCCTCCCCTCCCTCTGGCCGGGCGGAAGCCTCCACACCCTCACGCCCTGCGGAGCGGCCCGCGCCCGCTGCTGCAGCGCTGGGCGCGCGGCGGCGCGGAACGCGATCATGGCTCTGCTGCGCGGCCGCGCCGCCGCTCCGAGGTGCCACGACGTCGACGACGTGGCCGACGACGCCGACGCCGACGCTGACGTCGACGGCGACGGCGACGACGACGGCAAGGGAGACGGGGACAGCGACGACGCTGGCGACGACGATGGCTACGACGACGTGGACGACGTCGACTTCGACGACGACGGCGACGTGGGGGGCGGCGGCATCGACGACGTCCACGGCGGCGGCGACGACTACTATGGATATCCGGTGATTTGAATGTGCAACTGGCGTTCGTCCATCGATTTCGGCCTCGAGGGCCGGTCAGAGCTCCAGGACCACCAGAGAAGGATCTGGGACGAAAAACCACCTTGGGGAAATGGTCGGGTTCATACAGGCGGATGTCAGAAACGGGGGCGGCAGCGACGTCGACGCCGACGTGGACGACGACGACGACGGCGTCGTGGGCGACGACGTGGGAGGCGGCGTCGACAAAGTCGACGACGTCACGGCGACGACGACGACGACGGCGACGGCGACGGCGACGGCGGGCGCATTTTTCGGCCGTGCCCGCGCATTGTTGGAAAGAGGACGTCTCGCGGTTGGCGGCGCGCAGTTATATGGGGAGGTTCGGCGTCCGAGGTTCCTGGACGCGTTCAGTCCCTGTGCCTCCCCTAGGCTATCGGACGGCGGCGGCGCCGCCGCGGCCTCGGGAAGCCGCGGAGGGTGGCGCCCGGGGGCGCGCGTGAAAACTGGGCGGGGGAGCGGCGCTCGAGCGCTCGAGCCCAAAAATGCTGCGAAAAGGGGGGCCTGGGGGGAGCGATGTCGAGGGCGGGGAGGGCGAGGAGGGCGAGGGGGACATGGCGGTGCGGGAAGCAAGGAAACGAGGAAGGCGTCGAGGTGGCAGTGGCGATGCGGAAACGGAAAGCTCGAGGAGGTAGAGTGCGGTGATCACAAGGAGAACAGGGAGGGCAAAAGGGAGAATGGATAGTACCATCAAAAAACGACAAAGGACAAAATCATGTCGATAAGATGGCGATGAAGACGGGCAACGGAGGCGAAATCGTGAGATGATAAGGTGGAGGTAGACTGCGATAGAAGAGAAGACAGTACGAGGCGCAGGTGGGCAGGAGAGCGGCAACGGGGGGATACGTATGATGATGGCGTTGCTGCTGAGGAAGCCGATGTCGATGATGAGGGTGATGATGGCAGCGATGGTGCTGACAATGGTGATGACAGTGGGGATGGTAATAATGATGATTACGATGACGATGATGATGATGTTTATGATGATGATAATAAATCGGTGTAGCGATGCTCGGGTTATGACGATGCTGCTGACAATTAAGATGGTGGCGATGACGATGACGATGATGATGCTGATCACCACCATCATCATCCACAGCGCTACATATTAACTTGAAAGAAACCTTGACAACTGCGCCTCGCGAGCAGCGGTAGACCGTGCCTAAGGCACAAGCGAGAATTCGGCTCTGGGCACTGGGCAGGCTTTCGGCGCGAGCATGTCGGCAGAAGTCAACCGCCCACGCACGCTGGAGCCTAAGGCTCGACACGAGCACGACGCCTTCCGCCGCGAGCATGTGCCTAGCACTCGCGCAGCGGAGGCTTCCAAGGGCGGACTGGCTCGCGCAGCGGTCCATGTTCCCGGCTACGAAGACGATCTGTGCGCCCGCGTTCCCCCCTTGAGACAGAACCGCAGAGCGCGCGGGCCTGCTCCACGCGGCCAGCCTCCACGCATCGGCTGGGCCGGGCAGGCGGACGCTGATCATGCTGAACGGCCTGAGCGCCCGGCCCGCGCCGCGCGCTCCTGGGGCGGTCTCTGCGCGCCAGCGGCCGTGGTGCGCGGCCGGCGGCCGAGCGCGCAGGCGCCGGGCCGCGCTGGAGTCGCCCCCGGCCGCGCCGGGGGCGCCCAGCGTTGGCTGGCGCGTTCAGGCAGGCCGGCCAGCTTCACGCCCTGTGTCCAAGCCCCGCGCGCCACGCAGACGGGGCGGTCGCCCGCTCGCCCGCGCGACCCGCGCGCGTCGCGCGTCCACCGCGGCGGCGCGGGTGGAGGTTTAGGATGTTGCCGTCGCGGCTGGCGTGCCAATTCACCCGCGGCGCTGTGGCTGCCTGGCCTCGCCGTCTTGGCGTTTGCCGCCCCCGCCCCCTCCCTCCGCGCGCGCGCAGTCGCCGCCCGCCTGGCCGGCGACGAGGGCGGCCCCTTCTGCGAGGAATGCCCACTGCAGAAAGGAAATGGCCATGACCTCCACCGCGTTCTGGCCGCGGGTCCGCCACTGGTCGGCCTCTGCCCGAGCGCCTCGAGCGCGCCCAGTGGGTCTGGCCGTCGTTGTCCATCCAGGTGGGGAGTCTGCCGCGCGCAGCCCTCCTGCGCCTGCCGCGAGCCCGGGCGGCCCTTCCGACGTAGCTCGCATCCCTATTGCAAGCGGCGGGCTGAAGTTAACGCCTCACCGCCCGCTGCATCTTCGGCCGCGCGCTGATCGCGCAGCACTAGCATGGCCCTGCCGATCAAGGAAGTTCTGGCGCGCGGGCTGCCCCTGGCGCCTGCCGCGGCGCCGCAGGCCCTCGTGAAGCGGATGCGTGGCTGCGCCATGTTGGGCCCTGCGATTAGGCGCGCGGTTTCCTACCATCTGCCGCTGCTCGACTCGCCCTGCATGGGTGTCGCCCCCAATGGCGCGAGCCTCACATCGTGCATCTCCGCCTGCCCCTTGTCGGCGTCATCAATCGCCCCCCAAAAGCGGGCCCGCCACTCTCGGCGAAGACGCCTCCGCCGCATGCGCCGCGGCTTGTCAACCTCGAAGCCGGCCGCCAGCATCTGGCAACCCGCGTAGATACGGATAAGCGGCATGCAGGCTCGGAATGCCTCGACGCATGCCACGATCTCAGCCGCCCTGACTCCTGGGGAAGCGGCCATGGGGCTGGTCCGAACAGGGCGACTAGCTCCCCTGCGCGACCCCTGACCATCGCGCCCCAACCTGCGCGCGCCGCGCAGGCGGCGGGGTCTGCGACGCTCCCGTCGGTGAAGGTATCTCCCGACAGCGGCTGCCCCACGGCGCCTGAAGCGCCCCCCCGCCCCCCCCCCTCTCTCGCAATCCCATCTGAAGTGGGCCGAGGGAGGCGTCCGAGATGTTCCACTGCCAGGCCGCGCAACCAAAATGCCCCCTCCTCTGTGCCGCCGTGCGCCGTGGCCAGAGTCGCGCTGGGCGCGATGTCGTCTGGGGACTTCCTCGCGCCGGCGTCGTCGTTGACTGCGCGCCCTCCCATTGCCTCGTTGGCATCCGCGCGCTGTCTCGCCAGGTGGCGGATGGCGCCGCGCCCCCCGCAGCCCCCGGGGCACGTGGGCGAGGCGGCCGGGCGCCTCTCCATCGCAGCCCTGCGCGCAGCTGGCCACAGGCAACCCATCGCGGCGCTGGTGGTTGAGCTCACCCCCTGGACCATCTGCCTTTAGTTCCGCTTGCGATGGGTCATCTTCTCGATCGCGCGCCCCCCCAGAACGCGCGCTCGTGGCCGGCGCTGATCAGCGTCGCGAGCGCGGGCCCCGCGCCGTCGCGCGCTTGGCCCGGCACTCTCGGCGCGCAGCCCAGCCCGTGGCAAGCCAGGGCCAGCGCCGAGGCCCTGCCCCTGCCAGCGCGTCAAGACCGACCTTCTCTCTGCAGCCGCTGCGTCGCTGCGCTGAAGCTGCTGCCCAGCGCGCCCACGTCGTTCACGCCCTTCGCGGATTGTAGCGTCTCGGGCGCAACCGCGGGCAGCGCCGCGCGGTCGCGCAGGGGGTCGCTGGCGAGCGAGCGGCCGATGTAGTCGCTGGGGCGCGCGCCCCTGCCCTCCGCGCGCCGCCGGTGGGCAGAACTGGCGACGCCTCGCCAATGCTTCAGCGGGCGAAACGGCCATGTGATCGCCCTGACCCCACATCGCGTCGAGGGCCCGAAGCCGGCGTCGCCCAGCCGCCCGAGCGCCATGTCCCCTGTCTGCGCGCGCCCTCTTCAGCTGGGCCCAAGCCTTGAGATCGCGGCCCTTTGCGGTGCCATCGTGAGGAAACCGCTGGGGCAATTGGCCAGCACTCCTCGCTGCTGGATGATCGCGACGTCGACGAGCTCGTGGGTCTTCAAGAGGTCGGCGAGAAGGGCCACTGTCGAGTGCCCTATGCCTGCGCATGGGTCTAAGCGCAGCGCCTGCCACCACGCAGTTTCTTCTTACGCGCGGCCTTGGCCCCCCCGCAAGCCGCTGGCCAGGGGGCTCGTTCAGCTCGGCGCCCCACTTCTTCATCTCCGCCAGTCGGACACGGCCCCGCAGGCGAAGGAGCCACAGGGGCCAGCCGACGGGGCGAAAGCCGCCCTAGGGCTTCGGCCACACGACGAGCAGCGAGACCGTGAGGAGGCCAGGCCAGCCGCCCAATACCTCGCATCGAACGCTACAGTCCATGATGACCGCCAAAAGCTCGTCGCTCAGGAGCGCTGTCCGCCCGGGGTCGGCGCGGTCGCGAAACTTGTTTGCTGCGCTCCGCCGCGCATGCCACGGCGTCGGCCGCCGCAGATTCAGCGGCCTCCCTTGCCCAGCTGTCGAGCGGCATCAGGAGGCAGTCTGTTGCGAGTAGTACCCGCGCCCCCTAGGGCTGGCCCAGTTGGAGGACACATTGGTTTGGGTACCTCGGAGGATTGCGGGAGTCATGTGGGGTTGCTGCCCCCTCTTCGCCAACGAGTGCGCGCCCCTCATCCTCTTCAGGTTGTGATGGCATCGGCCGGGTACGGCCAGCGATGTGCCTGCGGAGTCCTCGCATGCACGCATGGTGCTCTTCCGCGGCTTGGTTCCACGCGTCCAGGTCCGTGCCCCCTCCACTGCTGGCGGGGCCGAGCCCACTCGGGCCGTGGCGCTTTGGGGACGCACCTCCCAGGCGGAGGAAGACAAAGGACACGCACGTGTCGAACCCGTCCTGCAAGTCGCGCTGCTCGCCGTGCAGGCCCAGCCAAGGCAGCCGTCCACGCGCCCAGCACCGCGTCATACCCACGAGCCCAGTGCGGCGGCGCGTCCTCTGCCGAAAATGGGCCCCGCTGCCCACCGCCGCCTCCTCCAAGTGCACGCCCTCATGTGATGCCTTCGTCCTCCCGCTTGCCGCCGAAGTAGCTGCCATCGACCAGCTGGAAGAGTGGGCCATACCACAGAATAGCCCAAGTGGCCGCCCTCTTCTCCTTCGCTGTCGGGGGGAATGGGACAAGGACCATGCCTGTCCCTGAAGTATTTACTGCTCTCCAAGTAGTTGTCCCCCGTGCGGCGCACCTCCTCTTCCCAGGGGTCGTAGTTTATGATGTTGATGCTGATGGAGAAAATGATGCTGCTGCTGATGATTATTCTTATGATGATGAGAATGACGATGATGATGATAATGATGATGCTGATGATGATGATGATGATGACGATGATGATGATGATGATGACGATGATGATGGTGATGATGATGATGATGCTGATGCTGATGATGCTGATGCTGCTGATGATGCTCATCATGACGATGACGATGACGTTGAGGATGATGCGGACCACAGTGCGGGCGCGGCCGCAAGAAGCCTTCGCAAGACACCCAACCCTGAACACCTGCGCGCGAGGTGCGCCCGAGGGGAAACCCAGAGCATCCTGAACGCAGCAGCTCATTCAACGGCTGCGCAAGCTAACGCGCAGCGCGCGGAGCGAAGAAACCCAGGGTAACCTGACGAAGGCCATATGGTTTCTTGATGCTCGCCCCCACTGCATCCGAGGCCAGGAGATCCTGTTTGCGCGAGGGCGCCAATAAAAAACAACGTACACGCGCGCGCATGAATTGAACGTATCTCGTGAGGTGCAGCGGGCCTCGAGCACGCTTTCTCCCAGGGCTCGTGCTACACCGTTTTTGAAACAAAACGAGAACGGCCCACGAATTCGCCCAAACACCGCTTAGTTTGAGCCCTGTGTGCCTTGTTGTTTCCTCCGTCGCGCAGATGGGGTGCAGTCAGCGGGTCAAGTTCACCTAAGACAGGAAGCGTACAGAGTCAGTTGACCATCCTGTGCAGCAACGAAAATGTGATGCAGAGATCCCCAGTGGAACTGACATAGCCGGACGCTGAGCTTCCAACAGCGGCGGGGGATGGCGAACCCAATCCCCCGCACTCTGAAACTTTCGACAAGAGGGGCGCATCCAAATAGCACAGCATCCAGGGGGTGTATCCCCGATTGTCCTGTCTTGTCCAAGCGACCAGATTGGGAGCAAACTCAGGAACTGGGGTAGACAAATCGACAGCAAGCTACGCAAGTGAGGCACGTGCAGGACAGGGACGCGTGAGCAGGCCTGGTAAGGCTTCGGGCTACACACAAGCAGCACGCGCGAAGCGCCACGGGAGAACCACTGAGAGGTCGGGCGGGCTGGCTTCAACAGGTCCCCAGCAAAGTCGGGGGCGGTCTCAATACCCCAACCTTCGGGCACCGCTGGCAGCGGCGCCAGGGTGTTGAGACCGCCCTGGGCAGCTGGTGGGCCCTGCTAAGGCCAGCCAGGACTTCCCGGAGGGTCTGCCTGACCTGAGATCCGACATCGCGATGCAATCCGACGTCGCGAAAAAATAAGCATTTTAAACATCACGAGAAGAGCCCTGGACCCCATCTTTCCGCGCAATCGTCCGAGCCAGATCGATCTGAGGGATCCGGGGCCCGAAACGAGGCGAAACCGCCCCTTGCGTAAAAATTGAGAGACCCCGATCTGAGGGCGTGCGCAGCTACAACGCCTTCCCGGCGACTGCAGGACAGCAGTCGGCGACGCAGGACGGTGTGGTTTGCAGAAGGCTGGGTGGCACCCTGTGGGGCGGGTGGGGACCTCGATGTAGCTCTCCGCCGTGCCCCGAGGAGGCCCGACGAGGACGGTGTCGTGTTCCCGAGGCCCCAGCGGTGCCGATCGCAAGCCCCATCCCACCGTAGCCAGACCGCTTGTATTCGCCGCGGCAGGGCGTGAGCGGGCCTTGAGGCACGCGCTTCCGATGCTGCAGCACGGCGTGCGCGCCGCGTGCCGCCTAAAGTGGGCGGAACTCGGCGAGTTCCCAGTTCACGGCCCTCGGGCCAGACGGCGGTCCTGGCGGGCGGCGTGGTCTTCGGGGTCGTCGTCGTCCCCGCCGCCGCCGCTGTTGTCGTCGTCGTCGTCGTCGTCGCCGTTGCGCCAGCGTCGTCGCCGTCGTCGCCATCGCGCCGCCATCGTTGTCGTCGTCGTCGTCACCGTCGTCGTCATCGCCGTCGTCGTCGTCGCCATCGTCGCCGCGGATCGTGGCCTGAGGTTCGACGATCGCCATGATTTTTTGCCACCGCTTTGGGGCACCTCTGGGACACCTCCATCCAGAGGCCTCTGGGGCCTCTGGAGGCGCCCAATCATCGTGGTCGTCGCGGTCGTCGTCGTCGTCGTCGCCGCCGTCGCCGAGTCGAGGCTCGAGGCTCTCCGACTCCTCCTTCGCCGTCTCTCATCGTCTCTCTGAGTGAAGGATAGTGGGGGTTGAGGGGCAGGAGGAGGAGAGAAGGAGAGGAGGGAGGCGGAGGCGAGGAGGGAGGCCAGGGGAAAGGGTGTCGACGGCACAGATCCTCATCCAATGT